TGAGGGAAGAATTAAAGGTGGTAGCAGGGTTTATTCTGTTGACTGTTGCCTATACAAATGATGCATACATGGCAAGCAACGGAACAGATCTGAAAAGGAATACAAGTGGAGCTTAAATCTTTTTGGAGAGAACTTCTTGAGCTACCTGGCGTAGGCCTTAAAGTAGGCCATTGAAAATTTGAGCCTGTGGCTCAAGAGAGAGGCTTAGGCTGGCAGGATGGATTTCAGAGTTGCTAGCTCATACTTGCTAGGTCAAATTGTCCAGTTGGATAGATAATTCAGGGAAAAAGAAGTGAGGACAGATAAGAAAGCCAAAGATGGAATGCTGAGCAATACCCACATTCAAGGGAGGAAATAATTAACAGAAGCAATACTGAAGCTGAAAACAATGGGGAAAGTGAAAGTAAGAACATGAGGGAAAGAGTAACTGAACTAGAAATGATCCAAGATGGGTAGAAAATATCTGAAGAGAATTTTGGAGGTCAGTGCATTAGACCTGATCGTGATAGGAGAGCATTTAACTTTCTAGGTGCTATTTTGGTGGTGTTAGCCTTTTAAACACAATTATGAATAACAATTTTTTATATATATATATGTGTACTGGCGGTTGAATTTAGGACCTGGTACATGCTAGGTACGTGTGTCATTTTGCAGAGATATACTTGTCAGCCCTTTTAAAAAATTCTGTTTTGAGCTGTGTGGTGCCACATGCCGATAATCTCAGCAGTTGGGAGAAGGGGTAGGAAAATTGTTCCGAGTTCCAGGCCAGCCTGGACTATATAACGAGCCCCTATCTCAAAAAACAAAAATGTAGTTTGAGACAGGATCTCGCTAAATTGCCCAGACTAGCCTTAAATTTAAAATCTTCCCACCTCACCTTCCTAAAGTAGCTGGGATTGTAGGCATGTACCACTAAGCCTAGTGAGTGTGTATTCTTGGGAGGCTGCTTGAATTATGCATAGTGAGTTTACCTACAAACGTGCCACTGTATCAAATCTTGTGTATTTCTTATGTGTTAAATTTTAAAAGATGTAGCTCCTATTCTTAATGCAGTTTTATGGAAATTGATTAGAATGCAAAGTAGTACTTGATTGGTAATTATTTATAGTTGTAAGAAATTCAGTTTGTGTTAAGTAAAAATGTCAGTGATAATTTAATAAAAGTGTTTTAGACCATGTAGAAAATAACTTAACCGACTGGTGATTTAGCTCAGTAGCATGAGTTGCCTGCCTGGCAAGCGCTAGATCATGAGTTCAATACCCAGTACCAAAAAAAAAAAAAAAAAAAAAAAAAACCCTTAACCATTATATTTCACCGTAAAGAGTACTGAATTTGTCCCCTCAGAGCCTTCCTTTCTTTCATAGAGTTCTGTTTTAACATCAGAGCTATTTGAGAAGAAGAGATGTTGGCTTTCTTGCTTATACTGAAATGTGTCTGTCTGGATTTTAATATTCACCTGCTTTTTCTAAATGTTTGGTTGAATAAGCTTTTTATTTTTTAATGGATAGAAGAATTAACAGAAATTTTGGAAAAAATATTAAAAGATAATACTTAACATGGAACATTGCAGAATTGATAATGGATTCTGTATTTCTTTAATTTCTCTAAGGTCTTAATGGTGAAATATTTTAGAAAGATTCCTGTGTTCTTGTTTTCGTTTGATTAAGGAATGTTTTTCAAACGTTTGAAGTCATATTCTCTTCATATAGGGATATAGGGATCATATTCTCTTCACAGGGATATAGCTACAAATTCTTACTGGCTGTTGCATATTATACAAATATAAGAGTTGAACAGTGATTTAAAACTTTTTGATTTATTTTGTTTAAATGATTTTCTTAAATTTTTAATTTTTTATATGCCTGGTTTAGCTAACCCTTGTTAAAAAAAGTCCAGTTACCCACCAGCTACAGCTTTAAATAAAATGTGTAAAGCTACAGCTTTAAATAAAATATCAAGACTTGTATTCTTTAAATGCAGATTGAACATGAATCATTACAGAATTAGTTAAAATCAGAAATTTGAGTGGGACTAAGAATTTATGAAATGACATTTCTGCCCCAATGCTAAGTATTCTGATGCTAAATGAACTTTAGACTTGGAATTTTAGGAATTTTTGTATTGCTAGCAATTAAAAGGAACTTAAGGTTTTGGGTTTTTTTTAAAAGGACATTTTTTTCCCCCCGCAGATCCATACCCCTTCATCATCTCAAATCGAAGCTCTCTAACACTCTATAGACAGCAGTAGCTGAGTGTCTTAATTTTCTGGAGCCTGACAAGGACAAAATGTGAAAGTTTCTAAATCACTGAATAGTATTTATAAGATTTATGCAGTAAAGTTTGTGTCCATTATTCCTTGGTACATGTGTCAAGGTACATTTCTTGGTATATGTTTCATCAAAAATTAAAACAGAAGGTCAAAAAATTTGGACTGGGAATTGAAGTCCAAGAACCAGCTATCCTTAAGTTTTCTTCATAGTAAGCCAGAAACAGTAAATTTGATGAAACTGTAAGGAACTTATTGGGCATTTGAATTAGTTCTCATTGTCCGTGGCAGTTTTCAGTGCCTTATGTAATACATGTGATTGAGCTCAACTATTACTTAAATGAACATAATAGGTAGTCAGACAGTTTGATGAATACACTGAGGTTTTTAGAGCTCAGTTTCTAGCTTGTAAAGCATGTTAAAATGGGATCATGAGAAGTGTTTACTGTAGCAAAATACTACTACTACAGTTAATCTGCTGCTGTCCTATTCAGATCAGGTAAAGATGGCCTGTGTGGCTATTTTCAGGTAACTGAGTTATTTTCTCCAGCATCTGCTATTGCAGTAATTGTTGCTTTTAAGAAACATGTATCCCTAGTACCCAACCAAGACAAAAAATGGAAAAATGCAAGAATGAATTAGCCCAACAAATCCTTTTCCACTTCCTTGGTCCATGGGGACAGTGGTGAAAAAGATAAGAGCACTGCTTTCCTGGTACTTATATATAGTAAGGGAGAGAAATTGATTTAAAAAAAAAATCCAGGACACTTTTAAGTGTAGTAAATGCTGTGTAAGAAACTAATAGGTTTGGGCATGAACTAGCAGTAGTGGCTGTTGCAGCTTCAAGGGCAGTACCAGCAGTGATGGCAGTACAGTCAGCAGGCTGCCCTCATGGTCTTTAGGTAGAGAACAGTCAGAGCTGAGCTGAGGGACGGAGAACACGCCAAGTAAAAAGAAAGAAGTTGGTGAGAGGGATCTGGAAAGTGAGATAGGAGAAGGTTTTGGAGAGAGTGTAGGGAGCCCATAATTTGTCACAAGTATGTTAAACTGAGAGCCATGCTGTGGGTCTTTGTGTAGGCTTTGGGGCTCAACAGTGGAAATGGGGAGTCTTGATTAGACCATGGGTAGCGTGGGACCATGGAAAGGAGAAAAGTACATGGATAAGACCTAGGATTTAGTAATTGGATGTGGGATTAATAAGGCATACAGTGTGACTAGTTTCTTGGCTAGAGAAGCTTTAGGAAAATAAAGGGTTTGATGTTCACATTAATTTAGGATATTTGTTAGACATCCAGAAGATGTCAAATAGGCAGTTGAGTAAATTCATGCGACCACTTAAAGAGTTAGCAGTTGAGAATTGTCATATAGATTTCTTTTTAAAATGTTGAAAGTAAAAGTTGCAGAGAAAAAGTCAAGAAGAAAGGGATTTTGGTCTGTATTCATTGAGAGATATTTAGTGTAGTTTGACTCTATAGTTGAGTATTGAATAATAAACTGGATGCTACAGCTGTGTCCATCTATACTCTGAAAGTCTGTTTTTCAAAACTGATTTGCGTTGATTTGTTGATCAAAGTAAATGGATAGTGTTTTTTAGTTATTATATTGCTCACTACTTTAAAAAATTCTTGACATTGTTTTGCTCTAATTATGAAGCTTATAAATAAGTACTAATTTGTTACATAAGATGTCTGATCTATGAGTTAACATCTATGTGTTAATTTTCACATTAACCAGATGTTTCCTTAGCTTCTCTTTTGAGGAATACACATTTCTGTTCAGAATGGGCACAAAATTATTTAAAACTTTATAACACGATATTCATAGACAAAAGCTGATTAGGTACTAAAATACTAACATTGATTATCTTAGCATGAGATTCATTTGATTTTTGTTTTTCTTTATAATCTTTCATGTTAATATTTTATAGCATTTAAAGTAAAATACACATTACAATTTAAAAGTTAGTTTTCTTTGTAATTCAATGCATAATGATTTAAAATAAAAACATTTATATTGGACAAGATCTTAAACATTGATTCTGTATCCTAAAGAGGAAAGGTATAAAACAATTTGGAAAAGGAAAGATGATTACATGCTTCTTAATTCTACTAGCATTCACTCCAGTGGAGAAAGGTTTCCTACTTGCTGGCTAAATGAATGCTCACTGAGGATATTTCTGAACTTCTTCCTCAATATTTTACTTTATGGCTTACTTATAAGACATATACTTTAAAAGGCAATAGCAATGTAGCAATGAGATAGTTATAACGTGTTAACTCCAATCAGGCAGTAAAGTTAATTCTTGAAGGATGTATGTCTCATGTCTAAAAATTATGCCATTGAAGCTAACCAATTCTTTGTTTACCTTTTATAGGGTAAATTCCAAATAGAGCTCATAACTCTGAACACAAGAAAGCACCAAAAGCAAGTGGAATAAAGGTCATCTAATTGCCTCTAAAAATAGTAGTTTGTGTTTGGTCAGCAGATGGGCATATCTGATATGTTGAAAAATCATTTTAAAAAGCTAAGTAATAAAACATGCAGATTTTGAAATCATGCAATATTAAATCCAAAGTATAGTTTTCTGAACTTAGAATCTAGTTCATTATGAACTTGTAGGTTTCTCAGGTAGTCATTAAAATATACTTTCAAAAAATCTATTTTTATAGGGATTTTAAAATTATGAAAACATACATAATATGTGTAAAACAACATTTCTTTTATTTTGATATAGCTTGCATTAAAAGGCTCTAGCTACAGTGGATTACTTGAACGACATCATATTCACACCAAAAATGTACAGCATATTGTAGATAGCTTACGGTAAGTCTATGGAATTGGGTCTTGGATGGGATTTTATATTCAGAACTTTGTTTTTAAAATTTGTACCAGCAGCCGGGCGTGGTGGATCATGCCTGTAATCCCAGCACTTGGGAGGCAGGAGGATCGTTGCGAGTTCGAGACCAGCCTGGGCTACAAAGTGAGCTCAAGGCCAGCCTGAACTGCATGGCACGAGACCCTGTCTCAAAAAAGACAAAAAAAAATTTGTACCAGCAACAGTTTTTTAGATTTTAGTAAACACTGTCATTATTAAATCAGTGTCAGAAAATTATGTTGAAGTAAATGGACCTGATTTTATAGCTTTCTAAGGAAATTTTTATTGCACTCTGGAAATTTCACAGGTATTTTCAGTTATTTGATCTACCGGAGAAGTACATTTTCTGTAGTTATTTCAGTACTCAGCTGTTTTCAACAGTATCGATAATGTTTTAATTTTTTAAAAGTACAACATAAGTGTTTTTAGTGTCTAAAATCATTATAGAAACTTATGTTAATTTGGGACTAAATGTAGTTATTGGATAAGTTTCTGTGTACAGGAGAAACCAGTATGAGAATATGCATGTTAAGATGTTCTGGTCACTGAGTGTCTGCCACTCAGTGAATATTTGTTGGATTTGAAATAACACTACTTGGCTTTGTAATAAATTGTGTCTCCAAGTGTTAATATTATGGACCATTTTGTTTTAATAAATTTTAGCATCAAAAGGAATAGAGAAAATGAAATTAAATTCTAACCAATCAGTATTGCTATTTGTTAGTGATTATAAGAGTATTTTTAAAGCTCATGGAAATTTGGGTAGTTATCAAATTTTAGTTTATTCATATGTTTTATAACCTATCATAGTTAATTGGCTATTGTGGTTAAATGAAAATACTCTACAAAACTACAGATTATTTATATGACATAAACATAATTTGTTTTATATCATCATTGTAACAATGTCTCAGAAAATATACCTTTATTATGTTACTATCAGTGGAAATTTTATATGACCTTTACTTTTAATCTTAGGAATGAGGGAATTGAGGTTCGACTAGTAAAGAGGAGAGAATATGATGAAGAGACTGTTCGATGGGCAGATGCTGTCATAGCTGCAGGAGGTAACTATTTTATAGAGATGAAGATATGACATGGAAATGCTCCTTAATACACATTATTTCTAGGTATACTGGGGTATAGCTATTTGGAAGACTTCCAAATCCTACCGGAAGACCACATTTTGGATTTTTGGGAATAGTTTTAAAGCATGTTTTATATCACAGTTCACATTTATAATGAATTTATATTCCTGTGAGATTTCATGTATATATTTCTATGTTTATATTTTAGGGGTGCTATTAACTTTAGCTTTAATTAAGAAGATTAGTTGTAATTGTATTTTGATTTAATTTTGGCATCCTTAAAAAAAACTGAATCAGACAGGGTATGGTGGCAAACTGCCATAATCCCAGCACTTAGGAGGCAGAGTCAGGAGGATTGCTGCAAGTTTGAGGCCAGGCTGGGCTACATAGTGAGACTCTGTCTCAGAAAACAAACGAAACAAAAAACAGAAGCAAAAAACTAAAGTTGATGGTTTAATGATACTAGATAAATTTTATATTCCTATTTATACTACTTTATTTCTTGAACATTGTTATTGTTAATGACTGTTTTCTAAAGCTTTTTATTATTGACAGTAGTTGTTGGAAAGATCTGAAGTTGGGCCCTGTTAAATATGTTCTCACTGAAGTAATAATTTATGAAATTTTTCTTAACAGAGGAAATTAAGGATTGCTATAAATATGTGACGTGATGGATTTGACTATTATGCACAATAAGATAAAATGTCCACATCAGAAACAATGAAAAACAAGAAAATTTATGAATTTGGACTGGTTATAGTGGAAGGAAAGTTTAAAGATTATAGAAGTAGTTCTCAGCTAGGAGGAATTAGTGTCATCTGATAGGTGTAGATCAAAGATGCTGCTGAACATTCCACAGTACACAGGACAGTCCCCTACAACAAAGAACTTTTCTGCCCCAGATGTCAGTCTAGCTATTGTTGAACTCTTGGATGATACAAAGGTATAGTGAAAAGAAAGGAGAGGTAGGCTGTAGCAGTCAGCAGGATAGTTTGAAACAAAAGTACTTATTTTCAAAGTGATGTCAAAAATTGTTTTGCAACATAAGTCTGGTTGTCTTGTGTTTATTACCCTTAGGTGATGGTACAATGCTTCTGGCAGCAAGTAAAGTCTTAGACAGACTTAAACCAGTTATAGGAGTAAACACTGATCCAGAACGGTAAGGAAGAACATGTTCTTTTTGTGTGTTTGGTTTGTAGGGTTTTTTTTTTTTATTTAATTTTTGGCATATTACACAAATGAGCATTTCTGCTTTGGTTTGATAGTACCTATGATAAATCTTAAAACTTTACTTTCTAAACTGTAGTCATATTAAGTATGCTCTGTAACTATAGGGATTTTATGATATTTCATGATATTTAAGTGGAAGGATTATTTATTGTTCCTTGCTACCATGAACAGGAGCACCACATCCCCAAAATTTTGGATGAAATTTAGGCATGTAGAATTAATCACCAGCTTTAATAGGGGTATATTTTATGTAGATGTTTTGAAGGAGAGAGTGCTAAATTTTAGCACAGACATAGGGCATGTCATTGGCATCGATGGTAGATAACTGTTACTGAATGAACCAGTCCTCATGATTATCTCCTGTGTAGTCTGGGAGGAGAATCTGGTAAATTAGACCTTAACTCTTGACTAGGGTGGTATTGGAGATCTTTTGCATTGCTGACGAAGAATGTGTTAATATCCTTCCTTATGTTGCTCACACATTCCGGGTTATTCCTGTATTGACTTCTTAAGGTAACTTCATTGACTTGATGAAAACAGTATCTAAACTGTTGTGCTTTTTTGTCTTTTTTGAGGCAGGGTCTCACTGTATAGTCCAGATTGGCCTTGAATTTGAGATATTCCTGCCTTAGCGCCCTGATACTGGGATTACAGGCATGTACCACCATGCCTAGCTATCCTTTTTTATTTTTTTTCTCTTTTCCAGCTTCACTGATATTAACCATTATTCTATTCCAGCCAGTCATGACCATGCCTAGACTTTATTATCATTTGGAATTTCCCCGTTTCTACAGTCCTAATTTAATTCTGACCACAGCCTCCTTCTTTAACAGCAGTCTTATTCCCATTGACTTTCGGGGCTCAGATCCCACCTGTTCATACCACTGACTTCTCCTTCACTTTACTTTCTTGACAGTTTCTTAAATATTTTATTCATTATCTTTTATATATGGGATCAATCTGTCATCCTTTCTATTCCTATGACAACATTAGAAAGATCTTCTAAAGGGAAATAACACAGGATGGAAACTTGGGCTTAATACATCTTATAAATGATGAAGAATGAACTTTCTGCCATATATTCTCATCTTCACATAGCAAATTATAGGGAAGCTTAGCTGTCTTGTAATTTGCAATTTGTTTTAATTTGTCTTCCACATTAAGCTATGAGTTTCTTGTAGTTTGTCCCATTTTACAGTAGAGTTAAGATGTCTCAGTTCTTTGCATTTAAGAATATCATAAATGACATTTAAAGGGGATTGTGGTTTAGTGAACTTTCACATAGATTGATTCTTCAGAAATTTTTTTTTTGTACCTGAAGTCAAACTCAGAACCTCATGCTTGCCAGACAGGCACTGTGCCACTGAGCTATATCCCTGGCCCCAAATTTTTATAATTGGTAGTTTTGTTATGCCTTTGGAGATAAGGAAACATACTAAAGTGGCTTACCCAAAGTTTTTTAGGTAAATAGTTTAAAGATAAGATTCAAACACCACTGTACTATTGGATAACTTTATGGGGTAATAAAATAGTAGCTATTTGCTGTTTTTAATTTCACCATAACATGGAAACAAGTATTGTGCATTAAAGCTAGATATAGACTATTGCTGTTTGGTCTTTTGTTCTTGAAGATACAATTTTTATTTTTATAATGATAATTCTAAAAATTATTTTTTATTCTACACTCCTTTTCTTCCCTTTATACTACCTAAAAATTTCTTTTAAATAAAGGTCTGAAGGTCACTTATGTCTGCCTGTTCGATATACACATTCCTTCCCAGAAGCCTTACAGAAGTTCTGTCGTGGTGAGTTCAGGTAGGAATTTCTTACTTTTGTTCTTACATATTTTAAAACCTATATACCATGAATAATGCTGTTAAAAATGGAACAAGTAAGGATTACTCCAGTTAGAACAATATCCCTAAATAGTGATACACTTGCTGAGTCACAGATACATCTGACTTAGCTTCTACTAGTCCAGTTGGAATTATTAGAGAAAACTTGTTAAGTGTTACTTGGTTATAAGTGCAAGTAGAGATGTTTCTTTTTCAGTGAGATAGAGGCCATACTTTTACTTTCTTTTATTTAAAATAAATTTAAAAAATGATGATGCAAATTTCAAAACAAAATAGTAGGAGTTTAACACTGGGTAATATATTGTGTATTGTTATCTTTAAAGTAGTTGTTCAGATAACAAGAGACAGACGAAAAAAATGATCAAATAATTGAACAATGAAAGCAAACTTCTTTTTTGAAGAATTTACAGAGATTAGTAGTATAGTTATCTATCTTGTATATATACACATATATATGGCTATACATATATCTGTATCTATATATATAAATATAATGATATATAATCTTTTCCTTCTTTCTTTTCTCCCTTCCCTATCTTTTCTCTTAACCTTGTTAGAAGTTCTTAGCAGTTTAAGATAGTTAAAGCCATGAAGGTTCAGATTCTGATACTTTATATAAGTTTTGTGCTTTGTGTATGTGTATGGGTACTGGCTAATGAGCTCAAGGCCTTCTCACTTATATCCCCAAACTTTTTGGTTTTTCTTTTCTTTTTTCTTTTTTCGGTACTGGGGATCAAATTCATGACCTAGGGCTTGCCAGGCAGGTGATTATGCTGCTGAGCTAAATCCTCAGCACCACCAGACTTTTAAAAACTTTTTTTAAAAAAAATTTTGAGACAGTGTCTCACTGAGTTGCCTAGGCTGGCTGAAATTTGTGATCCACTACCTCATCTTTCAGAGTGCTGGGATTATATGCGTGTACCACTATGCTTAGCTAAGATTTTGTATTTTTGTGTTCATCTTTTACCCGATCAATGGAGGACTGAATATTTAATGCAGCCATTTCTGTCCCGCATATTGTTTGTTAACCAGTGGTGACAGGATTTTTAAAATGTTCCTTTTACTTAATATGTTCAGTGGTCAGACTGTCACGAAAAGAGGTAGGTGGAGGGAGAAGCTGAGATAGGTTAGCCAGTTGTATGTGAGAGGACTAAGTTTGAACTACTTTTTATAGTTGAAGAAGTTTCTTCTCCAAATATTTATAAAATAGTATTAAATTTTTAAAAATTTGTTTTTAAGTGCTACATAGTATATGTTTGTGGTATATAGTGTTACATTTCAAAACATGTATACAATGATCAGGTCAGGGTAATTGGTATATTTATTGCTCCAGGCATTTAGCATTTCTTAATATTGGGAAGATTCAAAATCCTATTAGCTATTTTGAAATCCCAGTTGTTGTCAGCTATAGGTATTCTGCTGTGTTGTAGAGCATATGAAATTACTTCTCCCAAAAATAAAATTACTTTCTCCTCAAAAATAATTTACTTCTCTAGAATCACTTTATTATCAGCAATTCTAATGTCGTATGATATCAGAAGTCTGGTACCTCTAGAAGTAACTAATTCATAACTATATTCCAAAGGGAATATAGTTTTGTATATTATCAAGCTGAATCTGGCCCACTGGTTTTGAAGGAGCATTATTGGTTTTGAAATCAGTTAAGCATAATTTCTTTTTACTTTTATCAGAATATTGTTTAAATCTTTAAGTGTAATAAAGGTGTCATATTGGTTTTAAATCTCTTTTATTAAATCCATCATTGTAAAATTTGGGGGTATTTTATCCAACCCAACCACTTTAACATGATATTTTATTTTTAGAATACTTTGTTTATATGTTTTCTTGCTTTGTAAAATACAAGGTTATAGCAAGCTCAGTATCTTAGACTTAATAGTCTTGATTTAAAAAAAAGTTTGACTTTAATTCAAGTCACTTGGAAGATTTTTACAGACACTTTAAGATAGTTTCACTATAATTGATCAAAGAAATATCCATATTTCTCACTGAAAGGGAAACTAAGGTGTTTCATTGTTTCATATAAAATTTATTCATGGAACTCCCAGTTTTTTAATATATATTTTTTAATTTGGTGAAATTATTGTAATGTTGATCCTTAGTGTGCATTGTGTTTTAACTTTCTTTTCCTTTTTTCCAAGATGGTTATGGAGGCAGCGAATCAGGTTGTATCTTGAAGGGACTGGCATCAACCCCATTCCTGTGGACCTTCATGAACAGCAGCTAAGTTTGAATCAGCATAGCAGAGCCTTCAACATTGAGAGAGTTGGTGATGAAAGTAGGTGGACTGGCAATTAGAGTTGGTTTTGGGGGTGGAACTTCTAGTTCTTTTGACCTCTTAATTTTTTGAGGTAATAATATTTACTGGTAGTAAAATTTTAGTGCTGCTAACAATACTTAACAATGGACAATAAATTACTTTGTTGTAAAATTTATTATGATTGAAATCCAAAATAAATATAAAGTATGTCTAGGAGAGCTCTTTTTCTAAGGCGGGTTTGAAAACTTGATTAAAGAGGATCATAAAATTAACTGATAGGATAGTTGATGGCTAAGAAAGATTTCTGGCCTTAATCTTTGAAATGTCAAAAATAAAACAAAACAAATACAAATATGTAGAGATAAAATGAGATATATAGAAACAATTATGGCAAGCCATAGTCTCACATACCTGTGATTCTAACTACCTGGGCTTAGTTTTCTAGGTTGGCCTTAAATTTGTGATCCACTTTCCTCAGCTTCCCAAGTAATTGGGATGACAGGTGTGCACACCATGCCTAGTTATAAATGAAATTGTCTGTTTCATATAGTGTAACCTGTCTGTATTTAGTTTATATTTGTGTACAAATTACTGAAATTCACTTTTTATTACCAGTATAAGTCCAGAAAGGTACAGTGGGGTTTATGTATTTATTTTCCTTCTTTTTTAAAAAAGTTTTAGTCATGTAATTGGTAATTTTTTAACAAATTTTTCTTTTTTACTTTATTGGTACATTTTAGATGTACATAGTGGTAAAATTCATAATAGAGATTTGAACCTGTACAGGGTATATATTGCTGTTTTTTCTTATTCCCCTTTTGTGTTGGCTCCTCTTCACTTCTTTATAGACAGAAGCTTTGTTTCCATTTTTCCCTTCCATTTTGTCTTGTTCCCTTTCCACCCTACTTCTATTCCCTTTCTCATTTGAACACTGTCTTCCCACTCCCTGTATCTGTTATACATTTTGATTCTTATTTACACTTTCAGTTTCTCATACCAGAGAAACTATGTGATGTTAACATGTCTGTGTCTGATTTGTTTCACTTAAGACTATAGTCTTAGGTGCATCCATTTAGCTAGAGATGTCTCAAGCTTATCTTCCTTATGGCAAAATAGTATTCCATTGTATAAAACACCACATCTTTATATATTCTTGTTTCGATGGGCATCTGGGCTGTTTCCAATATTTTGCTATTGCAAACTGTGCCACTATAAACATGGGTGCACATATATTGCTGTGGTGTGATACTTTTAATTCTTTCAGGAAAATACCAACAAGGGGAATAGCTAGGTCAAATGGAACCTGTGGTCATAGTTTTTTGAGGAATCTCTGCCCTGATGTCCACAGTGATTGTACCAGTCTACATTCCCACCAACAGTGGGGAAGGATTCTTTTTTTCCTCCTGCCTCATTAGCATTTGTTATTGGTTGATTTCTTGATAATAGCTATTCTTTCAGGGGTGAGATGAAATCTCAGTGTTTGAATTTGCATCTTTCAAATGATCAGTGATGTTGAACATCTTTTTATATATTTGCCATTTCTACCTCTTTATCTGAGAAGTATCTAATCACTTCAGATGTTCATTTTTGGATTGGGTCTCTTTCACAGTAGCCTCCAAAAAAATGAAATACCTTGGAAACTATCTAAAGAGGGAAATAAAAGACTACACTGATAGCTAACATACTCTGAAAAGGGAGATCAAATAGGATATCAGAAAATGGGGAAAGATACCCTTGTTCTTAGGTAAGAAGGACAACATAGTGAAAATGTCATATTTCTAAAATTGTTACACAGATAGAAAGCAATCCCAATCAGAGTTCCAATAGCATAAAGTAGGGAAAATCAGTCCTAAAATTCATTTGGAACCAGAAGAGACACAGAAGAGCACAAGCAATCCTGAGCAATGAAGGCAAGGCAGCAGACGTCACAGCCTCTGACTTGAAATAATACTACAAAGCTGCTGGCCAAAAAAAAAAGAGAGGGAGACCAAAGGATTAATGTGACATGCTAAGCCGTTTTATCTTTGACAAAGGAGCCAAACACCTTCACTGGAAGAAAGATAGCCTCTTTAACAAAAGATGCTAGAAAAACTGGCTTTCCACATGCTGGAGATTAAAACGATACCCACATCTTTCATCATGTACTAAACTAAAATCAAATGGATCAAAGATAGAAATATATTAAAATAATATTAAAATGGAAATAGTAAATCTGCTGGAGGATAGAATAATGCTCTTGATGATGTTGGTGTGGGAAAAATCTTTATGAATAAAACCTTGGTCATACAGTAGTTACTACACAAAATCAACTAGAATCTCATTAAGAAACTTTTGCACAGCTAGAGAAACCACCAACAGAGTGAAGAGACAACCTACACTGTGGGAAAAATGTGTTGCTAGCTATTCCTCAGAGAAGGGACTAATGTCTAGACTATAAAGAACTCAAAATAACTCATAACTTTATTATTTGCAAACTAGTCATATTAATTTGGGCAGGTGAATTGGTTTCATTAAGAGTACCAAGTATATTAGTGACAATGCAACTTTAAGTGTCTTTCTTGCTCATCTCACTATCCAGGGGGTGTCCAGGTAGCCCAGCCTTCTTCCAAATAGTGGCTCTGGCCATATTCTAAGGCCTCTGAGTGTTCTACTGGATCTTCAGTATCTTGTGGGGAGAATAATACAGAGAACATGGAAGATACTAAGTTTTAGGAGCCAGGCTTTTTTCATTACTTTTGCCCACATTCCATTGGCCATTACCAGTCACTTGATTCTACCTAATGTAAGTAGACCCAGAAATACTCTTGAAATATTAGGATGTGGGAAAATTATACAGGGTAGTAGTTTCTGTGATTAGTTTAACAAATCTATATTTAAAATACAAATTGTAAGTTTGTAATACATTCTTTTAGAATGTCTCATTGAAACAAGTTATTGAATAGTTTTGTGATTGGTAGAGTTTGATAGTTAATTAGCATTAAAATATAAACAGGATTAAGATGACGAATGATATTTGAAGCTATTTTACTCAATAAAGGTTTTGGGATGAAATTTCATAAACATGCATAATAAAAATATATGCAAAAAATTTGGGGAAGTGAGAATTGTGTAGAAAGTCAAGACAATATAAAGGAGAAATATATGGCTACAGTTTGGTGAGTTCATATTTATTAGTAATATTTAGTACCACAGTTCAACATTTGTAAGAAAATCTGGAGATCTGAAACAAATTCTATTAGTAATTATTTTTAAGGAGAAGTAATTTAAACAATAAGTATTGCTTTTTACATTTGTAAAACTGTCAGACCTGAGAATGTGAATATATCTAATAGCAACTTAAGACAGTTTCAAAAGATAGCCTGTTGTAAATGCAATTAAATTTGATAAGCACAGAACACAAGATCTTTTTGTTAGCTTTTTGTGTCAAGTTGTTTTCTGTATTATGAGACTGAACTGATAATTTAGGCAAAGGTACAAAGACCCTTGATATTATAATAAAAACTTTTTGAATGTGAAATAGTTGGGTTCTCATTAGGCAGTTAGGATCCAAATGAAATGAGGTAAGTGTAATGAATATTCATTTTAATAAACGTGAAAAGAAGACTACAATAATCAGGCTTGCAACTCAGAGGAGAATATATCAGTGGTAGTGTTGGTGACTGGTGGTTTTTTAGTGTATTTACTATCTAATATGTATAAAGTCTTTATTGATGTGTAACAAATTTTCCCAAAATTTAGCATCTTAAACATAAGTGTTTATAATCTTCCATAGATTGTGAAGGTCAGGAATGCAGGAGCCTCTTAACTTGTTAGTTCTGATGTAGGAACTCTCATGAGGTGAGGTCAAGCTGTCAGTCAGGATGGCAGTAGTATTTGCAGATGTGACTGGGGCTGGAGGATCTACTTCTTCTGCTGTTGGCTGGAGGCCCCAGTTTTTCTCCAAGCTGACCTTGCCAAAAGGCCATGTCTTTATGCATATTTTTCCTCACAGCAAGTGAGTTGAGAAAAAAAGAGGGACATGATGGAAGCCACACTGTCTTTTCTAATTTAATCTCAGAAGTGCAGTATGATACCACTTCTGGCATATTTTATTGGTCACAAAGGACAATACTTGTATGTTGTGGGAGAGTGTCTATTCACAAGGGCGAGTGCCATGAGGCAGGAATTACTGGTGCTGTCTTGGAAGCTGCCTACAATTGGGATGAACTCTTAAACATTGACTTAGGAGAAGTTTTGGAGGGAACAGAAAAAGTGGCGTTGTCCCATGGTGTTTGCCTGGTGGGAGACTGAGGGCAATAAATCTGCTATCATTGATGAAAAGATGGCATTTCTATTGGAAGCTGATAACAGACAAAAAGTAAAGGAGACTTTAGGAAGATGACAATCACATTTTTATTCCAAAAGGCATCAGGAGTCCTTTAGATAGTTTTCTGTGATGGAGTGATGCTTAAATAATCATATAAAATTAGTTAAACTGTGCACACAGTCTTCTAGGTTGAAAGAAGAAAAAACAATATAATTAGGAGATGTGAAGGGAGATGGGATAGTATTTCTCCAGTGCTGCTGGTGCTAAAAATACTATTGAGGTTTTCTATTGGAAAATAATAACAGAAACAAAACAATGATTGCTTAACGTATCTATATTGTAATCTGCTGCTTAAATCTAAGATGGTGCTTCTTTGGAAGTACTTAGTCTACCTCTAAGTCTTTCAAGGTAAAAGTGTGACAGGAATCTTACAAATTGGATAAATATGTTCTATCACTTTTTTTGTTTTATCACTCCTAAAAATTGTTTCAATAGAATTAAGGGTTATTTTAGAGAAATGCTTCATTTGTGGGTATAATTAGATGTCATTAAGGTTTATATTTTGAATGCTTTAAGAAATATTTAATTTATATGTGAATTAATTACAGAACATGATTCTATTTAAATTATAAAAGTTTAAATGTTTTGAAATTTTTCTGTGTAACATTTCTAAAATTTAAGAAGCTGTTTTGAATTTTTCTTCATTACTTCAGGCTCTGAGGTTTCAGGACCCCAGCTTCTGCCAGTGAGAGCACTAAATGAAGTCTTCATTGGGGAGAGTCTGTCATCCAGGTACTTTTAAACTGTGACCTTAAGTGTGGAATCTAATGTAGGACTTTTTTTGGTATTTATTTAATTTCTACATCTTGGCTAAGATTTTTAAATAATTCATACTATATAAGTAACTATTTAAAGAAAAATTTTCAAAACATCATATCCATTAATACATATTCAGGGAAAATAACATTCTGTGACCAAAAAAGTTGATGAAAACCTACATTAAACTGAATTACTCAGGTTTCCTTGCTGCATCACTTTTTAGGATCTTTAATCTACTATGTAGATGCTTTGTAAATGCTTAGCATATGATGCACTAGACATGTATTCGCAATTGATACAAAACTTTTAAAGACAATCCTTAAAATTCCTCCACTAGAGCCAAGTGTCATGGTGTGCACCTATAGTCCCTGCTACGTAGGAGGCTGAGGCAGAAGGATCACTTGATCCCAGGAATGCAAGACCAGCCTGGGAAATACAGTAAGACCTTGGGTCAACAATAAATAAAATAAAAAGTAAAAATAAACAAAAAATAAAATTTCTCCAGTAACTGTCTTAGTATCCTTCAAATTGATTTGTTTGTTTGCTTGTTTTTATTCAGGTCCATTCAAGAATCATTCATTTCATTTGACCATTGAGCTTTTATGGCTCTTTAAAATGAAGAATAATGCTTCATCCTGTTATTCCTTTATCATTTATGATACCAATATTTCTTAGTAGTCTAAACCATTTATTTTATTTTAGATTTGTATGACTTTTTTCACTGCCTTATAAGTTTAGGTTTTTTTTTTCTTCTTCTTCTCTTTTCTTGAGAGAGGGTTTTACTGCATAGCGCAGGCTGGCCTCAAACTTAAAATTCTCCTACTTCAATTTTTCAGGCATTGGGATTTAAGATGTGTCCCACCATGCCTGACTCAGACTGGCTAATTTAATTTCTATGAGAATGCTGCATAATGTGTGGTGATGTACCCTTTTTAGTGTAACACATCAGAAGGCAAGTGTTTTGAGTATTGACAGTCTGAGACTGTAACAATTACTAGCAAAAATTATTTACTATAGTTCCTTATTAGGAGTATGAAATTGTAGTATGCACTTCATTACTGTTCAAATCTATTTGTTCAATTTAAATATAATTTAGGTTTAAATTGTTGGTCAAAAAAATTTTTTAAGAAAGCTTTATGTGAGACATACTTAGCAGCTTAAAATAACTCCAATCCTAACCAATTTTAGTGTTTAAAGTTTATTTTTAAAGAATAAAACATTTAAAGAAATTTTAAAATATGGTAAAATGTAAAATTGATTTTAACATAGTAAGAGTTTTGTTATCTAGTTTTTTGTGACATCAACTTTGAAGCAATATGAAGATGAAATAATAGGTACTGCTATGTGACAGAAGAGCGAAGACATAACTCTGATTAGTGGTATAATCTAGTCATTATTGTATTACCAAAAACATAAGATAGAGAACAAATACTTTAAATGAGATTAGAGAAAACCCATTAAGTTGAATGGATGACTAAAAGAAAAATGTTTTTGTGAGTTTATGCTCCCCCTGACAAGCCAATTAAGGGCTTATGTTCTGTTTCTGTATTTTAAATATGTAGTTAACTGCTATGAGAGCTTCTACTAGCAATGCTTTATACTTTGTACTTACTAAAAAATAACTTCTAAAAGAAGGAAAACTGGAATTAGCTGATATACTTGGGGGATCAGTGAAGTCCCACAGGGTGGTGTCTGATACTGCTGCTTTTTGTGCTTTTGATGCCTCACCTGTATCTTTATTAAAGTAAGGGCAGCACTGGGTGGGCTTCCAGTACTGCTGAACACATTGTAACTATTGAATGTAGCAGAATTTATTTTTAAAGATTCTGTGATGATTAGGCAGAAAAAATAAAAATTTGTCCGCTTTGTGTCATTTTTTGTATCATATAATGTTATTTAACGTTTATAGCATTCCAATGAAAAAGATTTTAGTGAAAAAATTGACATTTGGAAATTTCAAACAACCTGCAAGGTCATATAATTAACATTAAAACTACTATATGAGCCCATTATTTATGATTTCATACTCTGTTGAGGCTTTATTATATTCCTTAAATTTAAGTGCATTGCTTGGAAAATATGAAGTGCAGCAATATTATTCCTGCCTCATTTATAATGTTCTTGGATTTAAGAACATTTTAAAAGCCCAATTTTTTTTTCTTTTCCCCTATTTGTTCTACTAGAATGTCTTATTCTTGGGCTGTAGCAGTGGACAGTTTAAGAAGAAGTATACCCACTCTAAAGGGACTGTGAGTTTTATTGCTGCCTCAAAAAAATAATCTCCCCCAAACAAAAATTCTGTGAATTAACTAATCTCAATAAACCTGCATGTGAGATTGACACTAAATTTGTTCATTGGTTTAGACTCAACAGCTCTTTCCTGATTATGCTTTTCTTTTTCTCCACTTCTGCTTTTCTTCCACTCTTTCTCATTTACTTCTAATCCTTTGGTTACTACTTAACATTGCCATAGTACTAGCCATTTCCATGGATCTGGCTAGCTTGTCTAAATGTAATAGATTTCTAATGTGCATTTTCTAAGAATATTTAACAAAGCTGTGAAGTAGCTTAAATGTGAATGTTAGGCCTGCTGTCTTTTATTTTTATAAGGATGTTAACTTCACAGGAAAAAATATAATGGAGTTGTTTCATGCATAACCCTCACAAATTAAGCTCTTACAGAAGAAATTATAAAGGTTAGAATAAAATTTATCTGTAGAGTGTTCATGTTTGCAGGAGTGTCTCATAGTCATTATTTTGAAAAGCTCTACTAAGGGTTTAATTTTTTTTAGCTCATGGAGAACAGTCCACTATTGAACAGTTACAGCTTTATTTTAAGATAAAATTTATAAAATAGACTTACTTAGCTCAAAAGTTCTTTGAATAGGCAGAAATCATTTCCACATTCTTGGGATTAAAGAATAATCCCATTTTTGCTGGTATGAGAAAACCTACTTCATTATATACTTATGAAATAGTCTTAAGAAATGTACTGTATTAAGTAACTTTATATTTTCTTGAGAAATTAGTTTAAGCAGGGTGTGGTGGTACACACTTATAATTTAACACTGGCGAGGCTGAGGCAGGAAGATTGTGGGTTCAAGGCCAGCTTGGACGACATAGTGAAAACTAGTCTCAAAAATTTAAAAAAAAATTTTTATTCTAATTTGTCTGCTAATATAAAGTGATCAGGATTTTTCTTCGCAGTTTTTTAATCTCTTAGTTTACAAAGTACATTAACATATAATATAACTAAAGAAAGGAGTTCAGAAGAAATTGTTGGTAATTCAAAGCATTAGATACAGATTTAGATGAAGGTGAAATTCACCTGAGAATGTTGTTCTGTTTTTTTTGAATTCTGAAATATGTCTGTATTAGAGCTCACAAAAGTGGTAGCAGCAATGCTTGCCAAAAGTTGACAAGCTCCTATTTGATGTATTAAAGTACTGATACAGAGGAGCATGTAGATGAGAAAGGCATGCAGACAGACAAAAAATGTTTTTCTTCTAACTTGTGTACTTAATCAACTTTGGAATTAGAGGCATAACGTGTGTGTCTACTAAGAAGATATGTCTTGGTCAAGCTGCCTTACTTAGATTTTATCAGTTGTAAGAAAGATTATTTCTATTTTATTTGCTGTGAGCCATAGCTCAGCAAACAGTTTCATGTTCTGTCTTCGTAGGGCATCCTATTATGAGATCTCAGTGGATGATGGCCCATGGGAAAAACAGAAGAGTTCTGGGCTCAATTTGTGTACTGGGACAGGATCAAAGGCCTGGTAAGTTGGGCTGTTGCTTAATCAAGGTTTGTGAAATATTTTAAGTGCATACTGTGTTTGATATCTCATTTGTGCATCTGAAGCTCCTCATGTGCATGAGGCAGCTCAGTGTTACGTAGGTGACTCAGTGTCTGCTCCATGCATTGCCTGGGTACCTTCCTGGCCTCTTTCCTGCTCTCCTCTCACCCATCAGCACCCTGAAGACACCACAGCACAGCAGGCTGTTTGCAATTCTCAGCACATGGTTTGTTCTCTCTTGGCTTTTTGTTTTCTCTCAGTGCAGCTTCCTGCTTTGAATTTCTGAACATTCTCCACTTTCCATCCGCTAGTTAAAAATCCGTCTTCAGATGTCATTCTCTTTAGGAAATCTTCAGTAACACTCAGTTTTTTTTCATAAGCAGTGGATCCCTTTTTTTTTACTTCTCCCTATATTTTCTCAGTGCTATTTAGCACCTTTCATGTTATTATCTAATGTGCTAAAATCTAGTTAGTTTTGAGCAACTTGAGGGATTTGAATTGGTGACTGGTGTTTTTCTTTGTATAAGAATAGACAAAATAGTGCAATGAATCCCTGTAGCAGGCAGTCCAAATATTATCAACCTGGCCTGTTTTTTTGTTGTTGTTGCTGTTGTTACTTTTTGAGCTGGTATCCTAAATGTACTTCTGTTCATTGTCGTATATTATTTTGATGTAATTTTCAGACATTCTGTTGTTTCCTTCATGTACTATATTAAATTGACATCTTTTAAAAAACTTAGTCAAATAAAGTAATGTCTTGGGGAATAAAACAAGCATTTAAAATGATAGGTTAACTCAGTTAAGTAAAATAATTTCTTACTAAAACTCAGTTAAGTAAAAAAAAAACCCCAAATATTTAAAATAAGTTAAAATGATAAGTTTCTAAAATGACTTCCAATAATTATTTGAAAAAATAAACTTAACCTTATAATATGCTATAAAATTATTTTATAATCTCAGATTAAGTTAAAAATATTAACTGTCATGATAATTTTTTTTAATATGGAACACAGTATGCTATCTGTTAAAGGTTGAATGAGAATTAGAAATTGTTCTAGAAATTGTTTCCACCCAGTATTTTCATCATTAAAATGGGCACAGTGGTATAATTGAAAAGGATACTGACCTGGGAGTTAGGGGAGCTGGCTGAGCCACCACCTAGTTTTGTAAGCCAGTATAAGTTTCCTTATCTGGAAGATAAGAGACATAGAATAGGTACAGTTTTTCTTTGTCTTCTGAACTTCTGAGATTGTGCAAGTTTCTCTTTCATACATTGTAAGTTTTTTAGCCTCTACTACTCTGTAGTGTGCTATGCACTTTGTCTATTGATCCTCACAGAAATCCTGAAAGGATAGAGTAATACTCCTTTTTATAGAAGAAATTGAAGTTAGCTGGGCCAGATGGCATAAGCCTGTAATCCCAGCTGTCAGTGAGGATGAGGCAGGAAAATTGTTAAGTTCACACCCAGCCTGGGCAATTAGCCATTTAGTGAGATCCTTTCCCAGAGAGTGGTCTGGAGGGGACGGTAGCTCAGTGCAAGGCTCTGGGTTTAATCCCTGTAAGGACTGTGTGTCTGAGGGGGAGACATTGAAGCTTAACAAGGATGACAATTTAAGCCAAGTCACACAACTGGTATCAGAATTGGATGTGAGCACAGTATGCTTGAGTGCATTTTTCCCTGTCACCATTACTTGTGCTGCCTCACAGGGGAAAGGCAGCTTTTAAATGGAGTGGAGGAGTTCCGAGACATACATAGAAGTCACACCCTTGAAAGGTGAATCTTTGTTGTCTTAGTCTGTTTCTTATTGTAACAATACCACAGAATGAGTAATTTATGAAAAACAGACTTCTTTCTCACAGTTAACTGGGGAGTCTGCTATCACAGTGCCAGCGTCTTGTGAGGGCCTTCATGCTGCTTTATCCCATTAATAGAAGATGACAGGGCTGAACCCACCTGTCTGTCAGGAACCCAGCCTGAGTTAATGAAATTCACGCACTCTTGCAGGCAGAGCCCTTGCGATCTAATCAACTCAGTTGCCCTCTTTCAGCACTATTGCTCTGTGGATTTTCTGACACATGAACGTTAGGGAGCATACTCAAATCATAGCAGTTTTACTGAGCTGAAAAACTATCAAAATAAACTTGGTTAAATAGTGCTTTTGCTAAATGTATGGGGGCTTTGACTTTTTCCTTCAAACACTGTGTAGTTTTAGTTGTCAAGTTTTCAGTAATGATAAGAACATAAAGACTAACAGTTACCCAGCCACCCACACCCGATACTGAAGGTTGAACCCAGGACCTTTGCATTGGTACATGTTGTAACCATGGTTACATGTGGACTTTTGAATAAGAAAGGCTAAGGTTAGAATTTCATCCTTCTCTGTGTTGTTTATTAAAGTCTCTCATTAATGCCTATACTTACTGTAGAATTCCACATCTTATCCTTAAACTCTTTGCCCTGAGCAAGTTGTTTACCTCTTAACACTTTTCCTCTTCCTTCCCATTATTGATTTGTATTTACTGAAATAGATCTTTCATTTTTTCCTCTTTGAAAAATGCAAAAAGAAAAGAAACTAAAGGAGCAAGAAGGATACATTTCTATATATCATAATTTAATTTTATTACACAGCACTTCTGAATACTTTTTTGGTTCCATGTGATTACATTATGTAAATTATCACAACTACTCTGGAGGTAGGTAATTTTATTTGCCTTCACACAGTGTAAAGTCTCTTTAAGTTGTCCAAAGCCATGTGGCTAATAAATAATGAAGTCAGGATTTAAATCAGAAACTTAACTTTAAATTGTAAAGCTGAGTAGTCACTGGAAAGAAAAGGTTAAGATAGTCTGTTTTCTTTTTTCTTTTTTAATAAAAGTTTTTGTTTGTTTGTTTTAATGTGACAATGTCAGTGTTTGCTTTAAATATAGAAATGTGGAAAAGTGGAACTCAGGATAAGCTAGTTTTTGTAACACAGTGGCTCAATAGGATAGAAGTTTATTTTCTATTCTCATAAAGTAAAGAGTAGGTAATTGGTAGGTGGCTTTCCTTCAGGTGGCTATTCAAGGAGTCAGACTCCTTCCATTCTTGACCCTGTTGTCTTCTAAACATGGCTTCTGAGGTCACTGTGTTCTTTTATGTCAAGCCGCAGAAAAAGAAAGACCATGGAGGGTCCCCTGGGAGGCTGGTGAGCCAGGCTTGCAAGTGCTGCCCCTTGTGTCCACTGTGATTCCTTTAGCTAGAACTCACATGGTTACACAGTGAAAGGGGCTAGAAAATAAAGCCTAACTACGTGTCCAGAGAAAGCAGAAGTGTTTGAGGAAATCCCATGTTTATTTTTCCAAAATATGTTTTTCAGAGTTCAGATTAGTAATTGTATTGAGAAGCAAGTGTCTGAATTATCCTTTATCTGAAGTCTTCTGGACAGTGCATTACATAATTTACCCTATGTACTTGGAGAAGTACTACAGAATGGAATCACATATTTCAGTTAGTTTCTTCTTAAGGCTGCCCCCAGTCCTCCTGCATTTATTCTGTCCTGTCAGACTTAAGGTTGGGAGTAGGGGTTTATTTGTTTGTCATATTTTGTTTTTCTTTTTTTGTGATCCTGGCATTGAACCATTCAGTGCCTCATGCCAGGCAAGTGCTCTACCATGAGCTACAACCCCAGTAACTTTTTATTTTAAACATTTGAGATGGGTCTCACCAAGTTGCTCATGCTGGCCTCCCATTTGCAGTTCTTTTGAGCCTGTCCAAGATTACAAGGATGTGCCTCCATGCCTGGCTGAAAGGCATTTTTATGAGGTGGAATTTTAGTATGTCTTTGATATAGAACATAACCTATTTCTCCTAAAAAGGTAGACTGAATTGACTAGTCTTGGTCACAAGCATAGAAAAGTAATATTAATATAACTCTAATTCAGAGAATTTATTTAGGGTTGATTTATGGTATCCCTAATAAATCATAGTTTTGGAACATTAGAGCAAGTTCTTGTAAGAATTCTGTCTTAACTTTTTTTTTTTTTGTTGAGTTCTAGCCCTGCCACAGGTAGTATCAAAGTGGTTTATGCTTTGCAGTGTGTAAAGTAATACTAATGAGATACGTATTTACTGAATAAGAAAGTCAGGAGACTTAAAGTGTTTTAGCAAAGCCGCAGAGGTAGGAATGAGTTGGTGTGGCTAGATTGTGAAGTCAAAGGGCAGATGATGGTGGAAGGTGGAGCAGGCAAGGAGCAGATCTTAGGTTTATTTTTTAAGCAAAAGAGTTTGATATGTGAATAATTTTAAGTTTTTTTTTGAAACAAAAGGATAGAAATGATACAGAATTTCAAAAAATACGAAATTAACACTAGTTAATATATTGCATATTGTTATCTTAGAAGTAGTTGTTCAGATTACAAGATTTAGGCATAGAAAAATAATGATCAAACAATGAAAGTACAAACTGTTCTTTCTGATGAACTTACAGAGATTAGTAGTATAGTTATCTATCACACACACGTACATATGTATATCTACATATAATCTCTTCCCTTCTTCCTTTTATCCTTCTCCCTATCCTAGTTGTTCTTTCCTTTTGAGCACTTTCTTTCCCTTTCATTTCACAATAGATAACTGTAAATTTTGACTCTTGTTACTCTTTCAGATTATTTTTTACACCAGGGAGTCATTACGATATTTTTACGTGTAAGTTTGATTTATCTCACTTATGAGGGTGGTCTCAAGTGGCATCTATTTACCTATAAAAGCCTCAAGTTTATCCTTCTTTGTAGTTGAGTAATACTCCATCGTATAAAAATACCACATCTTTTTTATTCTGCAGTTAATGGGCATTTTGGTTATTTCCAATATTTAGCTATTACAAATTGTGCTGCTTTAAATGTGAGTACACATATATTGCTGTGGCATGATGTTTTCAATTCTGGGAAAATACCCAGAAGGGCGAAAAGCTGGATTGAAAGGAACCTCCTATCCTCATTTTCTGAGGAATCTCCACACTGATTTTCACAGTTGTTGTTCAGTCTACACTCCCATCAACAGTAAAGATGGGTTCCTTTTTTCCCACAGCCCCGCCAACATTTATTATTGGTTGATTTCTTGATGCAGCCATTCTTTCTGGAGTGAAATGGGATTGCAGTGTTGTTTTACTTTGCATCTCTCCACTGACCAGTGATGTTGAACATTTCTTCGTGTATTATTGGCCATTTGTATTTCTTCATCTGATAAATGTTGTGTCCATTTCAGATGCCCATTTTTGGATTGTCTTTGAGTTTGGGAGGCCTGATGATTTTCAATTCTTTATATGTTCTAGATAGAAGTCCTTGGTCTGAGAGTTAGTTGGCTAAACGTTTTCCCATTCTTTGGGTTTTCTTTTTACTCTGTTTATGGTTTCTTTTGAAGTACAAAAACTTTTTAATGCCACTTGTTGATTGCTTGAAGTAGTTACTGTGCGGTTTGAATTTGTTCATGAACTCTTTTCCTCTGTAAACATCTTCACTATTTCTACCTACCTAGTCTTCCTGTAGATTTAGTGTTTCTATTTTAATATTTAGATCTTTGATCCATTTTTACTTTAGTGCATGATGATTGACATGGATCTAGTTTTAGTCTTTGGCATGTGGAAATCCAATTTTTCTAGCACCATTTATTAAAGAGGCTATCTTTCTTCCAGTGAACATGTTTGGCCCCTTTGTCAAAGATAGATTTTAAATTTTTAGTAATTTGTACATTTACATCTTGTCTTAAAATGTTCAAAATGTTTTCACATTTGTGTAAAAGTGAAAGCATAAGACTGGAGAATGTAGAAAGCCAACTCTTACTATTTCACTGTACAGTGAAAAACTAGCATCCCTTTCATTTTATACACACACACTATAATGCCTTTCAAAAATTAACATTATGATTATCCTTCCATATCATTCTGTATAGCTATATTCTTTTTAACATCATAATGACTAACTGGAATTTATTTAACCAGCTTCCTGTGTCTATGTATGTGTTGTGCAATTACAATGCTTTAGTAAATATTTTTGTATGACTCTTTGTACATTATATGTGGGAACATGTTTTAAGATAAGTTGTTAGAATGCAAAATATGTTTATTTTAAATTTTGATAGTGCATAAGTTGCATTGCAATTACAATTTCTCCTTTATCTTTTTTTTTGTTTTGTTTTTGGTACTTGCAGTCAAACTCATGAGCTCATTCTTTCCAGGCAGGAGCTGTGCTACTGAGCTATATCCCCAGGCCTGGAATTGCAGTTTCTGTATTCTTATTAGGATGAGAATATGTATTGTGCCATAGCCATTTCAATACTTTATTTATCAGTTTTTAGCTGTGTTCATTTATAACTTGTCTTAATAATTTCTAAAAAGTATTTACATATTAAGTAGATTTTTCAGTTTTAGCATATCTTTAGAATTAAAACAAGAAATAATTATGTAGTTTTTTTTTTAGGTCTTTTAATATTAACAGGGTAGCAACTCAGGCTGTGGAAGATGTTTTAAATATTGGTGAGTATCAAGACAACTATTATATGCTATAATATGATTATGTTATATAACGTCTACGTTATTGTATATTAGCTGGTAAATAAAATATTTAAGGAAGATATGTTCCCCATTCTTCTTTCAACAGCAAAACGACAAGGAAATTTGAATCTTCCATTGAACAGAGAATTGGTAGAGAAAGGTCAGTAACAAATGATATTAATCACAAACAGTTTAATTTAGTTTTATATGTATTTTGAAAGTGATAGTGTAGTTGTTTAATTAGCAAAGCACTTTTTTAAAATCAAACATGTGCTTAATACAATAACACTAAATGTAACTCAACAATATAAAGATTAAAGCTAGATTTATATTGTACATGAAGTCTAATAACTTCTGTCGAAACATTATACATAACTATAAACATTCTGAGGAATATGAAAGTATAGAAATGTATGTAACTTGTAAATAGAAAATGTACATCTAAATTCCATGTGCCACTGCAGCAGATTAGTCTCTTACGCATGGCTTTGCTTTTTATGGTTTCAGCTTCTTAAAATAGATTCTGTTCTTTCAGTTTGAGAACAAAAGGATTATTTTAATCGTGGACCTTAGCTAAATATACATCAAAGAATGCAAAATTAGACAGTATAGTATAATAATTAACTCTTAATTGTGGAGTTTAACTTAGAATATAACTCTAAAAAATGGTAAAAGTTTTTAAAAACTTTTTATCTTATGAAAAAATAAAATTGCATAATAAAATAGTAATAATTAATACACTGTGTGCCATTACCTTCAAAATACTCAGAAGAGTACAAGACATAGACAAAAAGGTTCTCTTATAAATAAGAAACAGATAATAGCACAAAACTTACTTTTTAGTGAAGAGAATCTAGTAGTAAAGGTGTAGGGTGAAGTATACGCTAATTACCTTGAGCTGATCACTACCCAAGGTAAATGTGAATCCAAATACCACATTGTCCGTTATAAATATGTGCAACCATGTGGCAATCAAAAATGCAAACCTAAAAATTATATAGGTAGAAAAATTGATAGATACACATATATACCCATATACATACAGACCTAAAGATTCAGGTTTATATCAGATATATAAATTAAAGGTATATACAAAATATACCAATTTATTTTTTTAGTAAACATATATGTTTTTATGTAATATGATTCATTTGAAGATTTAACTATCTTCAGAAGCAATAGTAAATGCTAGTATAGTGGTATAACACCGTTACTGACATTTCTGGAACTATTCCTTTGAAGTTTCTTTCAGATATAGAATATTTTTAGTGATGTGTTCCCAAGGAAGCACATTTTTATTTTCTTGGATGAATTAGATTTTTGTTTTTTAAAGAGCCAAATATGGTTTCTCAACTTTATTATGGTGTATGATATGCATTCAGTAGAAACTATACTTTGAATTTTGAAATTTTTTTTTTGCTGAGCTGGTAATAGGCTTTATTATCCTGTCTGGTGTCAGTGGAGGTGACACCTCTAATGTTCCGTGTTACTATGATGTTTCATAGGTTAGGCATGCTAGGTGCATTTTCAACTTACAGCATTTTCAGATTATGATGATTTTGTAGAGATGAAAATTCATTGTAGGTTGAACATGAGTAATTCAAATGACACTTTCATGAATAAAGTAGATCTGATGTTCTTGTCAGTTTTTAAATGTAATGATCAGTGAAACTTTCTTTCAAGCCTAATTTCTTCATATAGTTTCTTCTTCCTTTCCTCCTTCCTCTTTTTTTCTTCTCCCCCTCCTTGTCTTTTGAGGCAGCATATTGCTGCATTGCCTAGATTGGCCTCAAACTCCTAGAATCAAGTGGTTTTCCTGCCTCAGAATCTTGTGTACCTGAGACCACAGGAGCATGTCGCCATGTCTGACTTAGAGTTATGTTTTGCATATGCTTCCTGGTTTGAGAGAAGGCAGGTCCCAAAGATTTCTAAAAATATCTTGAGTCTGGACAGTTTCATTGGAGAAAGAATATAGCCTGTTATTGTTTGAGACTGTTTTATATCAAGATTGTTAACTTACAAAACTGTTCGGTATAGCATTCTGGAATGTGTTCTACTTTTGATACATTTGAGTGTGTCTATTTCCTCTATTTGTAATTAATTACTATCTTTGTACAAGGTAGTAGTTTTTGCCGCCCGCCCAGTTATATTGTACTTATTTTTCTGTATTGTAGGTGATGTATGCTTTTGTGGATCATTTGTGGAAGCTAATTCTTATTTATAATTCTTTTTTTTCTTTTCTTTTTGGTGACTTGTGTTGAGTTCCAAGCAAACTCCTCAGACTTTTAAGCTAGGGATAGCATCTATTGTTTTACAATACTCAAAAATGACCACTCTTCATTGAATATGCTAATATTTTTTCTCTGTAGTAACAAATGAATATAATGAATCTCTACTGTTCAGTCCAGAAGAGCCAAAAATACTTTTCAGTATCCGAGAACCAATAGCAAACCGAGTTTTCTCCAGCAGCCGCCAGCGTTGTTTCTCCTCAAAGTAAGCAATCTTGGTGTAACTTCAATTTTCATTGCTTTACACAGCCATAATAAGAGTACTAATTTGTTTAAACAGTGTGGCAGGAAAAATAGTACCTATGAAACTAATGAAGAACTATCTTAACCTGGCTAATCCAACTTTGACTTCAGAGAAACTAAAATGTTAATGAAAAGTCATAATTACTTAATTGGTTGATTTTAATTTGCTGTTTTTTTTAATATGTCGATACAAGGTCAAATTGATCATTTAAAAAAAATGACTACAAAGCAAATCTTTTTAGTAAGCTGTGGAATAAAAGGATAAATATTTGTATAAATATTTATCAGATGCATTTCTTTTAGCTTTTTCCTAAATGTGAGTTCCTCATGCATTGAATTTGCTTCATTTTTTTTTTTGAGGGGGAAAAGATATTCCCAAATGCGTATAATTTATTTTATAAAATTTTGCCTAAGTTTTCAAACTAACAAGAAAACTTTGTTATGAGAAAATGTCATCTTATAGGAAACAAAGGCCAGTTTAATTATAAAATGCCACCTATGTTATGAATATTCTTTTTTTTTTACAGTATATATTTGATTTTTTTTCCAGGTAATATGTAAAAAGGAAACCTGTTTTGATATTTACTTACTCATTTGAGAGTTAATTTTGAGTAATTAAATGTATACTCAGTTTGGGTGAGACTACAAAGATTCCTTCAAAGACACTTACCTTTATGTTTGAAGTTTTGGTAATAGAATAGTTTTGTACTTTGGCAGTTGGAAAGGTTTCTTAAATGTGTCATAAAAGGTACTTGAACAACAAAAGATTAATTAGTTAAATTATGCTAGAATTGAGAACGTATAGTCATAAAAGTTACCAATAATAAGGTGTGCTACAGAGAAACGTATCAGCAGGATCTATATGCAACATGAGCTCATAGCCCAATATATAGTACAGGTTGAGCATCCCTAGTCTGAAAATCTGAAATTGTAATTTTCAATGTCCAAAACTTTGTGAAAACAGCCATGATACTAGAACTAGAAAATTCCACATCTGGCATCATGTGATGGGTCACAATCAAAATGTAGGTGCACTAGAAGTATGATATAAAATTACATTCAGGTTGCGTACAAGATATATATGAATCATAGGTAAATTTTGTGTTTAGTTTGTCTATCCCTCAAGTATCTCCTTATCTGTATATAAATAGTCTAAAATCTGAAATCTCACACATTTCTGATGCCAAGTATTTCAGAAAAGGGATACTCAACCTGTAAATAAAAATTCCTGCGAATCGTTAACCCAGTCCAGTAGAAGAATGGCTGGGTCACAGGATTTTCACAAAAAGGGATATCCATTAAGCATACATAAAGGCACTTGAGCTTAAATTCATTTGGAAAATGAAAAATAAAAGTATGGAAGAAGTACCACATACCCACAAGCGAATGGTTAAAATACCAATTATATAAAGTTCAAGAAGGGATGAAGCTGTTACTACTAAAATGATGGAAATTAGGATAGTGAGTATGCTTGAGAAGGGAAAGACACAGGCATAACCAGCAGGAAAGGGGCACTGATTTGGATGGTGCGAGTGTGTCCACTAATAATTTGTGCCTCTTCTATATATGTTTTTCTTTATGCAACAGCTTTAAATGAAAATAGCACTTGCTCGACTCAATATACTTGTAACAACTTAAAGAGTCATATGAAAACAGCGTTTGAATTTTATCCCTTCTGAACTTGATCACTGAAATACTTGAGTGAATGGCTGTATACTGAATATGTGCAAATGAGACTGTGGCACTGTTCTCATATTGTTCACATAAATTTTGCCATGTTACTTGGCTTTTGAAATCAAGGCCAAATAATTTTCCAGCTCATATAAAAATTTCAGTTAATATATTGGTTAGAATTAGGAAAACTAATAGTTAATGAAATATCTTTCTACCTAGGGTTTGTGTTCGTTCTCGTTGTTGGGATGCCTGTATGGTTGTGGATGGAGGAACTTCTTTTGAGTTTAATGATGGGGCAATTGCTTCAATGATGATTAATAAAGAAGATGAGCTTCGAACTGTGCTTCTAGAACAGTGAAGGATTTCCTCAGATGACAAGTTTTGATTACTGGGAAAATTCTTTGATTGCAGCAACAGACCACCAGTCATAAAGCTTCTTCTTCTTCTTTTTTTTTTGTTATGATTGAGACATGTTGCCCTGGGCTCAGAAGTGACAAAGAAAATGAGATTTACATTCTTCTTCTGTTGGATTCTGATAGAGAAAGGATGGTGACTGTATGAAAAAGTAGATGAACTAAATGGATTACAATTGATACCAGTGAATTTTTTTTAAATTTATAATTGGTAACCAAGAATGTTGTATCTTTTAATTTAGAAGCAGGTTTAATAAAGGATTAAATGTTTAGGATTTGAAATTTTAATTGAACAGATGGTTTTTTCTTCCCTTTCTTTCTTTGTGAAATTGGTCACATAGCATTTAAGTGCTTATTTTTCATAGTAAGTGAAAGTAAAGATTTTTACAATTTTGATAATTTTGATAAATCCTGACATTGACCTAACTGAAGTAGGTTAAATGTAGTTTTTATATGTGCTGACAATTTCCTAATTCTAAAACACAATGATGTGATCCTTATTGATTTAAAAATTTCAGCAATTTTTGAAATTATAGATGAATATTTTCATCACAATTTCAGTAATATCCAGATGAAACACCTCTTGGGACAAAATCATGAGGCTGTTACAAATATACTAAAATAGCTACTTTAGGTAAGACAATCTTTTTAAAAAGATGGTTTTGAGTCCCATAAGTCTCTTCTGTGTTTAAAGGTCACTTAACATGGATTTAGAGACTAAAAGGATAAATTGATGAGACATGGTTTCTTAAGAATTGGGCAAAATCTTTAAAAACTATTTTTATTGAGTGCTGGGAATATTGTTATAAAGAGAATGGGTTTGTTTAGTAAATATGTCAAACAGTCATTTTGGAATTGCTTTTTTCAATATTGTGGGTTTCAGTTATATCAATCTTTAAAATTTTACATAATAAATTTGTGGGGAAAATGTGATGGCTTTTTTCCCCCATTATGAGAATTTCTTTATTCTTGGAAATTGTTATTTAATTCTTGAATCTACTTATAATAAGTAATCCTGTAATTTTCACAAAAAATTATATTGCTGAATAATTGAATGGCATTTATCCAAAGTTGTGTTTTTTTCACTCGCTGGTAAAATTTATGTCACTGATAAGTGCCCACTCTGTGCCATGTATTACTAGGTGCTGGATACATGTTGATGAATAAAACATACTATCACTAGAATTTCAGACCAGTAAGATCAGCAGTAAAATTCTTTTGAAGCCAGGACATATAGCCAAATTGAGTGCTCTTAGTTTTGTCACCAGTGTTCTTTGCTCTTAGAAAAAAAATTTAAAAATGAATGTTGAGGTAAAAAGTTAACCTAGATTTTGATGTATTCTCTAAGAATCTGTTGTATTTTTCTTAATTAGGAGTAATGTACATAAATACTCAGAGCAGGTAATTTACATAAGATGGAGGTAAAATAAAAATAAAGTGTTTTGCCAGGGGTATCAGTTAGTTGGATTTAAAATATGTAAGATAATACTTTATAAAGAAGTTAAAATTCCACAATATAGAATGTGCTTTAGAAGGTTTCAAAATACCTTGAGAAAATGCCAGCTTGATAGTATCTCAAGGATATTGGTTGGAATATTGATTGCCTGATTGCCTGTGTGCCACCATAGATCTGTTAATATGTAACATATTAATAGATAACCTGCTGTGTGAAAAGCCATACTTAAAATATGTTTTATTTGCAATATAACTTCTACTCCATGGTGGAATCTATTTCTAAGAGATGAAAAGAAAGGATGTTAGAATAGCCAAAATGTTTTTATAAATGAGTTAATCTTTTAATGGTCACTATGTGAATAAAATTAAACCATTGTTATCTCTTTTTTACTTTATTTCTTACTTCCTTAACTCTAATGGGGTCATTATTTGGAAACTTAAGTTTTCTTGAAATATTGTTTTAAGAAAAGACATTTTATTCACTATTGTGTATTATTCTGTGCCCTGAAGACTTCCTTCATTGTGTTATTTGACATAGAATGATGATCAGTTATTTAATCAGAGGATGAAATGCTTACCTGGAAAAGGTAGATGCTTCATATACTTGTCACATATTTTTGATGTTCCATTTAAATATTAGGGTCCTACTATGTGGAATCATATTCCAAGTTTTAGTAAATGTATAACTTTCATGTACAAAAACTTTACAAATTTCACTTTTTTGTTGTTTTCTGGTACCGGGAATCAAACTCACGACCTTATGCTTGCCAGACAGGTGCTTACACCACTGAGCTAAATCTCCAGCCCCAGATTTTACTTTTTAAAAAGTAGAACAATACAGCCAGTTAGTACAAATATTTTGAAAATATTTACTTGAGTTTTAAAGATGTTAAATATAAATTTAAGGATACATATATAACTAAACCACTAAAATTGCATTCCATTGTTTTATGTTGATACTTAAAATAGTATCTATACCCAGATGGTAGAGATAACTTAACAACCAGATAGGATAACAGTATGATGAAATATATGTGGTGGTGTGGGGATAAGAGTATATGTACATTTGAACTGAAGGAGTTATTTTTTTCAAATTGTTTCTTTTTGACTTTAAGCATATATATGCCAGGGGTTGACGGCCTGTCAGTGAGAAGGCATATTAAATTTTATACATCAAGGAAAGTAAGAAAAGCTGTCTTATGCATTTATAAGAAAATCACTAAAAAAGCTAGATAGAAAGTATTTTAAGTATTATACTGAGTACACCTTATATATTGATTTTAATGTTCAAAACTAATGTAAATATTTTGGCACTCATTTTGAGAAATATAAAAATACCAGCGTTCTAATGTTGAGATTCATGAAAATATTAAAGCAAAACAAGCTATAAAATGTTTAGTACAGGCTTGGACCTATATCTTGGAGTTAGCCTCTTGGTGAAAACACTTTTTTGACTTTTTGGGTGGGATATGTGGCCAGGTAGGAAGGGGAAAAAAATAATTGCTTTTCTAGGATTAGCATACACAGTAACCAGGAGTTTCCTTCTATTGGCCCATTCCTGCATCATCCTCTGAACCTTGCTGTGTGCTGTTTCAAACATAGCATCTTCCACATGGTAGGTTCTCTGTAAACACTGAATTATAATTGACTTTACTAAGACAGAAGGGACATATGTATCCTATCCAAAAATAAGTTTTGCCTTAGGCTAGAGTATCCTTCATATGTCTGAAACTTATAAAGGAGAATGAAGAATCAAAGGTCATTAAGTGCTATCAATTAAAAAAAAAACTGATGCATACTTTTTATGTTTTTGGCTGAGACAGGGTCTAACTCTATAGTCCAGGCGCACCCCTTACAGCAGTCCTTCTGCCTCAGCTGGACTAAATACTAGGATTACAGGCATACAGCTCAATTACCCAGTATCTCCTGGGAGGCAAAAATTATCCTTTGTCTACAACTAGACAAGCTACATCTGACCACCAGTTTATGGAAATAGGGGACAGATGAACCTGCTAAGCACCACTCCAAATAATAGCAAAATCTATCCTATAATTATAGGGCAGGTGATCTAGTTTCATTAGTGAGTATACTGGAAGGGAAAAAAGAGGGGATATAAAGATTAAATTTTAAGGATATCATTGAAGTGCAATGTGTGGATCATGTTAAGAGCCTGATCAAAACCAACCCATGTATGAAAACACTGGTGAGATCTAAAGAATCTTCAACATTACCTGATATTTTAAGACTAGAGGTACACAGTCAAATTCTTAGAAATTACAGGTCTGGGTATTGTTTCAAAATGATCTATGTGTTTTGTGTGTGTGTGGTGAGGAAAGAAGAATGGTTGGTCATAGACAAGGCAGGAATTAATAGTTGCTAAAAATGGATGATGAACTAACGTGTCATAATCTTTACTTACTACATATATTTGATATTTTCATCATTCAAAAAAGCCACAGTAGAGATAAGGTAAAAGAATGAACACCAAAACTCGATGGAATTCAAGAATACTATGGCACCATTTGAATGGATGGCTGGCTTCAAAAGGAACTGAATTTCTGGAAGGCTTCCAGGCATAAACTAAGCAACTCATTTTCAAATGGCAATAAAATATGTAAACAATATAAACAAAGTGAGTCTGTATTTAAAATGTTTACTAGTTACCTTTTATTGATAGTACATGACTATCACATTAATCACTGGAATTGAAATGTTTTATAAATGCCACTACATTTGGAAACACTTTTAAGAAAATAAGCCAATATTTCGCACCTTTTAAAAATGCATTGTAAACTACCATTTAAACTTGACCACAAGCATATGAAGTAGACATGTTGTTTAGGGCTCTGTTTTATAGGGTTTTAGAGGCCATGGAGCTAAATGGCAGCCTCCAATGACTGCTTTCTAATTTTAAGGATGTAAAGAAGAAAGGGATACAACTTAGCTCAATTACCATTTTTACAAAAACGTGTTTTATTTGAAAACAAGTCTATAAAAGTAGAAATCACATACAAAAATACAGATTACTCTGACCTGTTGGAAAAATAGCTTATTGTTGGAACTAAGTTTGGAAGCACAGGCACGGTAAGTATGAAGGCACCCGGAGATCAGAGTCCACCGGGATCCTATCACCAGCCCTTGTCACTAATCTGTAAACAACAATTTCAAGTAGTAGTTAGCACTTTTTAACTAAGACACTGAAACATAATCATTTCCTGTATAACACTAAATAGTCTTCATTAGGCCTGAGCAAATAAGGGCACTTCATCTATTACCATATCTTTAACCTTTAAAATTTAACTTAAAAAAGTTAACCAATTACCAGTCCAGTTGTTTAAATACAGGATGACCAAGTATTGCATATTTTTTCATTAATTTTTTTGTAACAGGAAATACAAAAACAACAGTTTTATCAAATATATTCAATAGAAGAATCAACTGGTTGAAAAGACACTTTCTCGAGCAAAACTCGGGGTAGTCAGTATGTAAACAGATCTGCTGCCTGAGTGACACTCAGGGTAAACTATTAAATGGTTAATAGAAAAGATGGGTTTTTGGCTTTTTTGTTACATTGTGAAAATAGGTCTCAACTTAAAACTAGGTTTATTAATTTTTTGGTGATTTTTACAAACCATTTAGTCTTTCTGCTTGTATGCACTAGGTTTCGAAAGAAAACTATTCGTGCCATCAAAAATTTCCATGACTGAGATCTACAGGAGTAGGTGTAAGTAGTGGCCAAAAGTGGGAACACTTGCTTCTAGTGCATTTGTGATTTAAAGGAATAAGCTCTTCATAGGTCCGGTAACATTACAAACTGTGTAGTTTCAAACAGTTATTTTGAGAGACCATTAAAAAAAGACGATTTAAAATACTTGATTCCAGAGTAATAACTTTAGCACTAAAAGAAAACAGGCAGTATCAGTTCAGAATTCTTCCATCCAACTTTCAATAGACTGATTATGATGATATCATCTCTAAAAGCAAGCCATTGTAAAAAGCTAACAACCCATAATAACATAATTTGATTATAAAGTTAGAAAACCACAATAACACTTCTTTACCTAATTCAAAATTCTGAGAACACAATACATTAAAGGACTCTTCAGATTAACCTGGCATAGAACTGTCTCCTGAGCCTTCAAATCCTATACCATTTTTAAACCTCTGATCATCTTTAACTTGTTTCTTTTTATTTAGGGGTTATGGTGAATTACAGTACATTTTCTGATAAACTAATTTTAAATGTAGATAGATATAAAACTGAAATGCATTAACCCCCAGAAAAGATTACCTCAAACACTATTCTGTGATTCTGTTCAGCTCATAGTACATACATAGCTAAAAGTTCTCCTAAGCTGTGTCTTATAAAATATTAGAAAATTCAATGCATAAAAGTTACCACACAGGCTGTGACAACAGTTAGCCTGTAGTAATTTTTAAAGTTTGATTCAAAATAGACTTAATCAAAAGGGCGCTTGAAAGGTGTGGCTCAAATTCTGATCTTTTAAAAAGTCATCTGGAAATTACAGGCTCATTCTCCTAAAACCTCCAAAGGCTCTTAAGGGCCCAGCACCAAAAGAAGTTTTAAAAGTCCTTTTAAAAAAAGCAATACTTCATAGCTTTCTCTTTTAAATGCTTCCCTAAAATACGTGCAGGATAAAGGCTAAAGGAAAATCAGTAATAAAACTAGCCAAGTGTCCAGCAATTGGGCTTCTTCCTTGCTTCACCCATTCCAAAGGGAGAAAAGAAACCATCCTGTAGTAAATACTTCATAGACAATTGGGCTTTTGCAGTGACAGGCGGCATTTGATGCCCCATATCTCCTGGTTCTTTATGTTGCCAACAGTTGGCCTGGCAATGGTAGTGAAATAGGAACAATTAATCTGCAGATGAGGAAGGGCTTCTCTTAATAGTTGAAGGGTACCATCTGGCACGATTCCAAAAACTTGTAGTGTTTTCAGTGTAGGGATTTCTCCAAGTTCACTGGGAAGGAAGAAAGATTTTTCAGAGGACAGATACCTATGAAAAACTGACTGGAGTTATATATGTCCTAATTGTTATAATTCGTATCACAGTCTACAAAATGCAACCTAAAAGCAGAATCTGCAAGAAATGATTTGAAGGAGTAGCAGAGGTGAGTCAAACTGGGAGGCAGACCATTTAGCTTGACCCAGATGGCTTACAGAACTATACCTGCATTTTGTTGAATAAGCCTCTTAGAAACCTTAGAATGCTCTCTGCGGCTTAAGAATAAAATCTAATCATATTTGTTTCCTTTCTCCATTCCTTTACACAGTGCTCTGAAAGGGATTTCTGAGCGGTATACTAGCAAGCTAGTAATGGTGAAAGTAAGTTTTACTTTAGTGTCAACTGGAACTGCCACCAGTTACACGAAACTTAAGGAGTAGATATGACCTTTATTTGAAGTGGCTCCATCTCTAAAAAAGAGCTATCAGCTGATGACTTCTTAATAATGGTTCACAATCCACAAGTCCATTATGTATGATGAGCCATACCAGCAAATTCCTTAAGAGACTGTAGATAGTTACATAGTTGGGTGCAGATGGGTGTAGGGGTGCCAAATCATATCCCTTTATGCATAGGGGGCAGCAGCTCTTTACCTCTGACTTATTACCATTTTTTCATGTCATAGGCAGTCCTTTTCTTAGATATTTCGCTTTAGGTGAAATACAGCTGTGTAAATGGTTGTCACAAAAAAAGAGAGCTTATTTACCCAAAGTTTGTTTGGTTTTGAGAATTTTTTTTTTTTTTTTAAACACAGACCTATGTGCCTAGAAATTCATTGGTCTCTGATTTGTCTTTGTTCCAGAGGTTGGGAAACAGTACAAAGTCTCAGGAAGAGGAACACTTATTTTGGAATTTCAGAAAATTCCCACCATATAATAATGAACACATCAATGACCTAGTGTTAGATGCATCCATTATTTTTTACTCTATCATCATTGTCAAACTTGTATTATAACTGGAAAGAAAGATGTCCTCCCATCTTTCTTTCCAGTCCATTCCACACACCAGTGTTTGAGGCATCCTCCTAAAGCGCTGTTCTGATTATCGTACTCACGTGTTCTAAAACCATTGATTTTTGTGTATTTAGGCAACCCAGACAGTACTGTAGGCCTTAAGACTTACAAACTTTACTTGCTCATCTAGTTTTCCCATTACCCTTGTAAATGTATTTGTTCTACATCCCACAAAATATCCTAAGCACTAAAGATGTTTAATGTATGTTAGTAGAACAAAAGATGTAGAGGAATTTGGAAAACAGAAGTATTGTTTAAGTAAAATAAATATGCTTCTTTAAAAGGGACAAGAACATTTGGAGATCCTAACATAACAAAAGAAAATCAAGTAGAATAACTTGCTATTCTCAAAGTAATTTCTGGACTCTTGCAACAAAATATAAAAGCAAGATTCCAATTCATAGATGTTTATACTTATCATCACTGAAGATGACAGCAGAGTATTGGTCATAACTATTACAATTCTGGTTCTGGAATATCCCAAGCCAATAAATTGTGATTCATTCTATGGTGGATAATATTTAAAGGAAGAAACTGTAGGTGGTAGTTAGAAAAGAAGAAAGAATGGCAGACAGCAGAGAAGGAAATGTTCCTACAGCAGCGTTGGCAAAGAGCTTTCTTGGTAAACAAGGAAGTCTTGGCACACTCTAGAGTTTTATGAGAAGGAAGCCATGTAAGGCAGGCTGACCAGTCAAGGAGTGGAAAAAATCTTTAAAATTTTCAGACCAAAACAACCATGTAAAAATGTATTTGACATTACAGTGGAAGAGAGGGAAACCAAACAGAGACAGTAAAGAGAAATGAAGAATTTAGAAGTCATTCTAATACAATCATGTCTTGATATTTATTCAGTTTAGTAAACTCAGGTTTACTAAACTCAGGTTTATTTCTCACCTCATCTGTATCACATTTCCTTTATAAAATGTGAAATGCCTCAAGTACAGATTCTAATAGAAATTTATGTCTCTTAATCTTAGAACAGCAAACTTTCCCCAAGATCAATTAAGGATAAGGAAATAAATATAGTGGGGTACTGGGGGGGGCACTAGTTTCTCAAGTATTACAAAAATTACTATTACAGAAGACCTAAAATTTTATTTGCCAATTTCAGAAATAAGTAGCCTTCACTTTGTTTTGTTTTATTTTGTGCCAGGGATCGAACTTAGGACCTCATACCTGCCAGGCAGGCGTTCATGCCACTGAGCTAAATCCCCCAACCAGCCTTCACTTCTGTAGCATAGGTGACTGTCTCTCTAGAAATGAGACACCCTGCAACTTCTGAGTTTCAAGTATGACAGCTGCAAGAATGACTGAAATTATAGCAAAAGACATTTTATTTTGGGAGACTCCTGGATAGGGCACCAATAATAGGCTTATCTTAAAGGATTTAGAGTACAAATCATACTATTAATACATGGTATTTAAAGAAACATTATTTTACCTTACAGTTTAAGGACAGTATCTTTCTTCTTTTTCCTATTCTGTCCTTCTGCTTACCTGGAATACACCACTTAAGCCCTTGATATCCCTGTTTCTCTTCTAAGATTAAATTCCGACAAGTAATAATGTAAAGAAAGTTCATACCTAGGTCTATGACTTCCGGCCCAAGCTCTTAACTATCAGTTCTATAGTTCCTGCGGGGATGCAGGTTTTAGTGTTATACCATTGGATGCAAATTATTAAAATATGAGAGCTCAAAAGTCTCTTGCTGGGTGTGGTGGTGCACCCTTGTAATGTCAGCACTCAGGAGGCTGAGGCAGGAAGATCATTGCGAGTTCAAGACCAACCTGGGCTAACACTGAGCTCAGCACCAGGCAGAACTGCATAGCAAGACCTTGTCTCAAAGACAACAACAACAAAAGTATCCCCTCATCTCAGCTTAAAGGAAAGAACTTGGGATATTACCCAGTTAGCTTCTTTTTTTGTGCATGAAGAAGACACTTGGGTTGTATTCTCTTCAGAAAAAAACAATCTCAATCAACAGAATGATTTAGATTTAGATTTAAATGATCCCAAAGCCTCACGTATTTAGAAGGGATCTGGATTATGGGAGCACTTATAGCTGACTTGCTGTTGGAAATGGAGAGTTACTAGGGGCATGACCTAGAAGTCTCTTCCTGGCTCCTCCCTTCATTCTGTTTCCTGACTGCTAAACCTTTCTACCGTGCCTTCCTGCCTTGGAGACAGCAAACTATGCACTAAAAGTGAGACAAAAGACCTGTTTCCTCCTTTACGTTTAAATGTCAGGTACTGTGTCTCAGCAATGGAAAAGTAATTCAGACACAACCTTTCCTGAGAAACTGCCCAGGCAAAGCAGGTATCCAGATGGTAATGACAGGAAAGAACAGATGACGGAGAAATGTTTTTGGATAAATACTAGAGGATCCTAGGAATTCTGCATGCTAGGAAAATAGAAGGACAGAAATCTTAATAAGAGTTTCATAGTTATCAATTTAGAGCCCAACCTTTGAAAGCCACACAAATAAACACTAGTATTCTGTTTAGACAGGGATTTTCCAGCTGAGGCCCTAAATCCTGAGTTTAAAAATGATTAATCACATAATTACCCAATTCTTTTAATCTTGTACAGTTAAAGTATCTGCTTTATTCATTAATTTTTGAAACTAATTCATAAAATCATTAAATTGGGAATTAAACAAATAATTTGCTCAAATTATCCACTCTTCTTAGGTGGGAAGCTGAAATTAAATGACTGACATTCAGACAGTGAGCTAAGTGAGTATGGCAGCTTTACTGTGCACACTGGTCATCGTGAAAACGGGCACTGGACCAAGTGCAAAATACTGACCTCTTGTGGTTTTTCATGAAATTGCTATAGACTAACAATCAGAAGTAGACTAATTCAGCACTTGGAGTGAAATAAAGGAAACATTTTTAAAAAAATAAAGAGATAATATTATTCCCAGGATGCCTTGGGAAAAGCACTTTTTTAAGAGAAAGATGGATTAGACTTTTTTGCTTCGTACTCTTCGATCCTGTGGGAACTGATGAACAGATCAAATGAACCCTCAAATGAACTACATTTGAGGGTTCATTTGATCTATTTTGTATATTTGGTTCTTAACAACATATATCACCTATGTGTTTTGATTCTTCATATTTCTTAAGCAACTGAGACATCACTAGATTACAGAACTTTTCCTCTAAGGCCAGATAAAGACTTTTGGAATCAACTAGAGCTGATTTGGAAAACAAAATAAAACAATAATCACATTGGATTGGCCTTCCTAATTATACAATGAGTACTCTCAAAACTATCTTGTACTTCTTTGGAAGTGTTTCACAGATATTAGCACAGTATGACATTTTACTACTTTAAAAATATGGACAGCAAAATAATAATATGTAGGCAATAATCAGTTAACTTACTTTTACCAAACAGTTTTGAATGAAAAGCTTGTTTTTTTTTCTCTTGCTGGTCTTTCCTAACTAGTTTTTGATTCACATTAGTAATATACAAGATTAATAATACACATGCTCTCAATGTCTGCTACTAATAATAATGAATGTTAACATCAGGTGGGTATGTCTTTTGGTCCTTGCCTTCCACAAGCATTAAAAGCAAAACATACTTACAGTAGTGTTTCAGGTATTATATCATAGCACCGACTGAGTGACAAGTGTTGGAGGTAGTTGAGCTGGAGAAATTCTGGAAAGCAATCATTCTTCAACATGATACTATCACTGTAACAGAGAAGAAAAGATATTCAGAACTACCCACTAGAACACTACCGCTTAGTCTCTTCAGTTCAACGCTAAGATTCTTTCACCATTTAATGAGCAAGCAAGTTTTTATCTGAAACAAAGAATACCTTAAGTCTAGATGGACAAGGTTGGGGCATCTTCTAATTAAGGTAGAGACATCTAGGAAAAACAAGCAAACATAATGGTCACTATTAAATGAGGAACAGGACAAGAGTATTTGCCAACACCATTATCCTTTAACACTACACTACAATAGGGAATTTCGGGTCTATTAAAAACATGTTGCTATCACAGCTGGAAAAAAATATTTCTCCAACTCTAACATATCCTAATATATTCCATATATCTTAAAAAGTTGTAAATGTAAATCAGGCAGTTATTTATTGAATCTTAGGATAGGTAAGGTATCTAAACATAAACATGCATAAAGAATACTTATAAACTACTACATAAAAGTCTGAAAATTCTACCATGTTAAAATAGGACAATTACAAAATTATCAGAAAACTGATCATTTGCCATATAAGTTAAGGTTAACAGTCATATTGAGGAAAAAGATAAACAATAGAAAAGACAATGAACATGAATGGATAACTTACAACATACAAGATAATAAAAACAGAGTAAGAGATACTAAGTGAACTTAGAAATACTACTTTTCAGCTACCAACTGAAAAGAATTATATTCTAACACCACAAATAGATGAAATGTAGTTAAGCAGGTCCACCCACTGTACATCGCAAGTGGCTATTTAATTTTATGTGCAGCCTTTTAGGAGACAATGTGAATTTTTTTTTGACAGCATACTGATTTCTTAAACAAATATTGAGGGCACTGCACACTGGGCCCATTAATTCAATAATTTTACTTATAGAAAAATACAGATGTGCACAAGCATAACCACTGTAGCAACAATTATAAGTAGAGTCCATCTTTTAGTTAAATTTGTTAACCCATTTCAGGAATTACAGTGCTAACAGTTGTTATCATAGGAGGCATAGCTTAGTGCTACAGTGTCTCCCTGGCATGCATGAAGTCCTAGGTTTAAGAGACACCTTACACTGAAAATGAAACAACATGAAATATATGTAGTGCACTAGAATCTCAAATTTAATCAAAATACAAATTCATATTTACATACAGACTCACAGAAAAAGTCTAAAAGGAAATACACTGAAATATTAACTGCTGTTAGCAAACATACTGGAAATTATAAATAACTTTTCACAATTTGGAAGTTACATAGACTGAGCTACTTCTAAGCAGAATAAATAATTTATTTAAAACAACAAATTTCAACTGACCACAGTGACAGTAGCACACATTTACAATCCCAGCACTTGGGAGGCTGAGGCAGGAGGCCAGCACGGGCTACATACGTTAGTAACTAAAATGTAAGGCTGAACTGCATAGCAAGAAAAACCAAAACCAAAATATAACAAAGAAACAAAGCAAAACCAAACCATACCCAACCACCAAATTTTACAAATGTCTGAAGGTGTAAGTGGCTGTCAGAAAGGACTCTAATTGTGTAAATTACTGATTTAATATAATTATTCCACATCTGTTTGACGAAATATCACATAGCTGATGATGATAGAGGATAGCTACTGAAAATGAGGTTCTCTGGGGGAAATAACAAGCTATTATAAAGTAGCATTTTGCACATTATGTCCCATTTAAAAGAAAAACTTGTATTGGAAAAAGGTATGTTAGATTGGTGATTTGTTTTTCATTATTTAAAAAATACTTTGTATTTTTGAGGAAGTATAATACCATGATCAGTTTTAAAATAGTGTATATAAAGGAAAAAAATGTTGGATAGAAATATTGTGTACAGAAGGGAGAGGAAGAAATCAAGATACGATTGCAGCTTTTACAGGCCTCTAAAGAGAATGTTCCTTTTGTCTGACAAAGCAGGAATTGGGCATGGCATCATTTAAACTTGAGTCCTTGCAAAATCAACAAACTCAAATCTCTGGCCATTCATGAAATTGTAGTCACTACTTTCTACAGCTTGATATATTTCAAAGTCCTGGAGATGTAGTTTTCAAATACTAAGTAACATTTAGGAAGCACTTGCAAATATTTGAATCCTATCTTTCAAAGCTATGAAATAAATGAAAACTTTCTCAATGAATACTCAATTGAACATCAGGACATTGAGACCTGCTTGATATGCATCACTAGATGAGGTTTTGTGCATCCTAGACTGAATATCAGCTTGATACTGTAACATGAAACTGTTAAAAAAGTCCTTCCATTTGCAACCATCAATGTTTGCACAAGATTCCCTCAATGGTATACACATACCAAATAAAGCAGATCTGCTACTTAGATCCCTATTTCAGATGCTATGTTCATTTAAACAACTTCATGGCCCTTTTAGACCAATCAAAAGATAAACACACACACACACCCAGCGTTTATAACACGGATTTTTACTGTTCATGCTTTGGACTAGATTGTGTGTGTGTGTGATTCTGCTACTTTATAATATGTTCAGCAGCATTCCTGATTTGTACCTATTACGTGCCAGCACCACTCCTCTGACTGCAACAGTCAAAAATGTCTCCCAACATTGTTAAATATGACCTTGAGAAAAACATTCCAGTGTTAAGGGAAACTGACTGCAGAACACCCCTTGGATATGTAAACCCAAGGATGCTCAATACCTAATATAAAACTATGTGGAACTGGCATATAATCTATACCCACCCTCCTGTGTACTTTAAATCATCTCTAGATTACTTATAATAATGAATGTAATGTAAATGCTATGTAAGTAGTCATACTGGACTGTTTGGGGAATAATGACAAGAAAGTCTACATATTCAGTGTTTCCAGAATACTTCTGTTCCATTGTTGGCTGAATTCACGCATGCAAAACACATGGTTTCAGAGGGCCAGTTATTTTTTTAACCTATTTTTTATATTAATGTTTTGATTAAAGGTGTTCTTCCTATAAATAAAGTTTTTACCTTCTAGTCTAGTCTACACTCAAATCTTGATTCTAGGTCAGTGATTGTCTACCTTTACCTAACTTCTGATCAGCAGTTCCCCTTATGGAAATAATAATACATGCACTGGACTAAAGACAGTCAACACATTTGGCAACTTAAAAGATGCTCAATAAATGAAATCTGTTATTATTGTTAAAGCTTCCACAGCTCTGGCCTGGAAACTCTCACCTGACTTCTGGAGATTCTTTCTATAGCCACTGAGATTCAGCTGGGTGACTGTTTCTGACACATGTGTTACAGCCACTTGCACATGCTTTTCAGTGAAATCAAAGCACCAGGACAGATTCAGCTCATCCAGCCTGCATGAAAGAGAGATAACAGAGAAACATGAACCCATCAATCAGAATGAGTTTGTCTTAAGTTGCAAACAAAATACAAAACCTAAGGTTCCTTGCTATTTTATACATAGAACGTTGCTATTCTGTAGCTTTGTACCCTTTATGTACTGACATTTCATAATATATAGGTATTAAGGCACTCACCCACATATATTATGATTTATACTTATAATTTACTATATGGGGTCAAAGACTACAAGTTAGATCTATAGATATAGTGGGGGGGAAGATCTCACATTAGAGTTAGATTTCCTTCAACTACACTATGATAAACACATTTCTACATTTTTCTTACTTTAGTATTACTAAATAAAAAAAAAAAATCAGTCTTCATATATCCCTCTATTACAAATGAAATTGATTTGCCTCCAGAATTCAGACAGAAACTTTCTAGAAAAAAAACGATACTACATTATCCAAGACAAGAAAGTAGAGAGTTACAAATATCTCAATAATTGATCCAATTCTATTCAGATGGGAACGATCATTGCATTTGATTTAAAAGCTTTACAATCAAGTCTGGAATCTTTCTTACCTGGAACAGCTGCTTAGCAAAGTCTTTAGAGCAGAGTCTGAAAATCCAGAACACCCACAAAGGTTTAGTCGCACTAAATTTGAGTTCTGTGCAAGATTACTAGAAAAAAAAAAAAAAAGCCACAGGAATACAGATAAGCTCTCTCATTCAGTTAACAGGTTTTAGAGGAAAGCAGGCTATAATTGTAATTAAGAGGCCTTCTAAGTTAGCAGTGAGTTTAAAATTTGTATTATATTATTTTTGTGACACTAAGCAGGGCTTTTCAGTTGACTCATCTGTAAAATGACAATAGAAGTTATCTTCTTGGTAGGGATACTAATATTAAAGCATATAATGTAATAAAGGACATAGCACAGTCTAGCACAAGAAACACTAATCAATGTACTTTTTAAATTAAAAAGATCATGAAATAGTCATATATCTTATTTATCCATAATTGGAATTAGCTTATAAACAAATTTCTATTTGTGAAGTTATGAGGCTCATTTAATTATACATTTCTTAAATTTGCTGTCTCCTCTATTATACTCCTAAATATCCTATGTAGGGAAACATAGTGATTAAGAGCCATTACTCTGGAGTTCTGGAAACATATTGTAATGCCATGAAAATCTTGGTTTGGCTACCTGTGTGATTTTGAACAAATTATTCAGCCACCCTCTGTATCACTTTTCACATCTATAAAAAGGGGTTGCTATTGGAATTAAAGGAGAATACATTTAAGTAATAATGTATGACACATAATTAATGTTCAATAAAGGTGCTATTCTTCTCTCGGGTGTCATCTTTACTCACCTGAGTGCGCTCATTTGTGTCCTAGCTAGTCCAGTTTCCTAACTGGTATCCTAACTAGTCCAGTTTCTTCCATGTCCCCTTGACCTCCACCCCCACAGTGCCTTGCAAGTTAATTTTCTAAATTTCAGCCTTGCCATGTCTCATCTATTCTAAGGGCCCCCTCTTCATCTTGCTTGCAGCCCACCGAAGTCTGGATGCCGTATAGCACAGCACAGTAGGCCATCTGACCCTCTTCTTGTCACCCCCTTCCCTGAGTCTCCCACATCAGCAACTTTAGCTACTTAAAAAATTTGGAACCAAACAAACAGCTTTACCTATGTGCTTCCTGTGACCTATCCCTCAGAGATCTCCTGTCTATGACTGTTTTTAATACCCAACTTGTGACTCACTTCCTCTAAGGCTTCCCTTCGTAATTTAATTAGACCTCCCCATGTGTTGCCACGTAATTGCCAATGCGTTTTACAAACATATTGGCAGTGTAATTCTCTGCCTCACCCATGAATGAGGTACAGACTGTGCACTGATCATCTTTTCATCTCTAGTACCTAGCACAGGGCCTGGCATACAGCTAGCAATCAAACTTTTGTTGCCTCAAGATGAATCCTAGAGTGTTTTTCAGAAGCTAGAATCCTGTGTGAAATATTTTCTTTGTCTACCTGGTCATGGACAGAATGCTACCCCAGTCACATAGAACAAAATTAACACATACAACAGCCACCTTTGTAACACAATCTGGCTGCTACTCACTTGACAATGGGATCTGAAAGCTGTAGGCCTTCCAGGCTTAGATTCTGCAACTTGGTGCACCGAGACAGAATGCCAAGGAGGGTATTCACATTTATAACGGAGTTCGACAGGTCCATGTGCTGTACGCGGAAAGGGCTACACACAGACGAGAAGAAAGAGGCTCTATGAGCTGTCTCACCTGAGCACAACCATCTCAAGTCTTACCACTACTCCGTCTCAGTGAGAGGTGAGTTACAAATAAGAACCTAAATACACATTCCAAAGACTGGACATAGTTCTGGTCATAAAACAAACTGCTACTAGCTAATTTCCATTCCTGTTCTCAATGGTTTTTAAAATTTGAGAGGATTTTTTGCCAAGTACAGATGTTGCCATCAATACAGTCCCAGGTACAGAGTTAAGGAGAGTGAGCTGGATGTACCTATAAGGCGATGTCGCCTATCGTGACTCCTGGTTTCTGTTGAGGGTGAGCAGCGGTGGTACGTACTAAAATGAGGAGACAGCGGACGAATGAGTTTCAAAGGGAAACCAAGTTTTAATTTTAGATATGATAACACTGATATACTTGGACAAGATTCAGGTGTTATGTTTAGGCAATTAGAAATGTGAGTTTGAAAGAGAAGGCTGAGTGACAAAGATTAGAGAGCCCTGAGTATAAGGGTGGGTGTACAGGACACAGCTTATCCAACAGTGTGAGCACTGAAAAGAAAGGCAAAGAGTAATAAATAGTAGTATGAACCAAAGAAATCACATGTATAAAGGAGACTAAGAGGCACCAGCCATGGCAGTAGACAACAACAGGGGAAGAAAAGGTTCTGATGATGGAAACAGCAGAAAAGTCTTACAGGAGAGAGAGCTATTTTACTCTTAGCTGTCTTCAGCTTGTTTTTCTTTTCAGTATTAGTTATGCCACTCAATCATGATTTAGCGCTAAATCTTAATGCTGTATAATTATCAGCAGTGGAGAAACAGTTTCTCAAAACAGTCCATCAAACAAACAAAAAGAGGGCTTTTTGTTTTAGGTTGCAGTTCTGTCCATGATAGGACAGAAAGCCCCAAACTACATAGCTCCCACTTATTTATTTACTAGAAATGAGCAGCCAGGAAAGGATGAGGCAGTCCTCACCTGCTGCTGAGTGTTCTGCCCGCTTTGCTTTGTCAGATTCACAATTCCCATTTGCTGAGGACCCAAGGAGCTAAATGAACACTGTGGGGAGGGGACTAGAACTTGACCTGAGGGTCTCGTGCATGCCAGACAAGTGCTATAACACTGAGCCACACCCTCAGCCTCCTAGGAGAACAGTTTTGGTCTGGGGAAGAGCCCACAGTAATCCTGAAATATAATGAGAACAGTGGCACTGAAAACTGTGCCATGTTCAACCCAAGGGCCACATTGTGCAATATGCAATTAACACCTCATACCGTACAGATGACTTGTCTCAGACTATCAGGTTGCATCATGAATAAAAGGAGTTTTGATCTGTTTCTGTCTCAAGATTTAAATAAACATTTTTTCCCAAAGATTTTTCTTTTGTACCTGAAATGTTCAACCAATGGCTGGTCCATAAATGATCGTGGGCAGCGGAAGGCAATCACTCCTCGCGACAGCAAACGACCAGTCACATCTGGGTGCAGATTTCTACCTGTGAGGTCTAGGGTCTGCCAAAGAGACTCGTCAAACCTAAAAGACAAGAGAGGCTAGACCTGGTAAGTCTGTTACAGTGAATGCCACAGGTCTTCAAGATCATAGCTTTTTAGGAGGATATAGCTGCTTAATCTCCTTGAGGCAAATTCATTTTCAGGTAGACTATGTACCAACTATGCTTTTTGTATTGCTTGATCATAACATGGATCAGCATCCATCTTTCTGTATATTTCCCATTTAGATTGTTTAGTACTAAAATTAGGACTACTAATGATCCAGAATTGGAGAATAAAATTCTAGAATTTGATTTTTAGCAATGACAAATTTAAAACTGATCATTCAAATTGCTTAACTGATTATTACTAGGTGAGTGGGTTCAAAACTTGCTCAAATAATCCTACTTACCATTTTTATTATGCATGGACAGGCCTCAATTACCAAAAATAACATGCAAATATAATTGAAGGAAGAAAATTTAGTGCTATTATAGACCTGTTATCTTCTAGGAAAACTCAGTCACAGTGCAGCTTTGTTTTGTAGTACTTTAAATCACATCTTTATGCATATATTTGTGTATATGTGTATGTATGTATGTGTAGGTGAAAGGAACAAAGAAAAATAATTAGATTATGGATAGTGTTTCCAAAGTAAAAGGAAGTTCTAAAATGCAGAGCAGCACAGTAAGGGACTTTTAATGTCCACAATTGAATTCAACTGAACAAAAAAAAAAAATGTGCAGTATAAGCACATGAGGGAAATTCTAAACATTTAGATCTACCAGAATTTTCTTTTTTATAGTGCTTAAAATAAGTGACCGTAGTTTTTAAATAACCATGTTAATGAGTAATTATCAGTGTGTGATTTGGCCCTTATTCCTAAAAAGGCAGACTGTACATAGACATGTTTAAGAGACTGCACTTTTTTATAGTTTCTTGCCCACACTAAGATCCACTCCTGAGAAAATTATACCAGCTCATGCTCCAGTTATCACAAATCTCATGGTTTCCTTAATCATTGTAAGGAAGCAAATAGTATCTTCCCAGCATTCTGCAACAATCTGGGGAATGTTCTGAAATACATATCTTTAGCATACACAGGAAGATGTATTCAGGAGCTATCTGAGTTCTCAGCTACACATAACTAGTTATGGTTCAGCTATGGAGCTGGCCAGACCTTAGATTCTTGCTATACTGCTTGCCTCTGCAGTATCTTCATCTGTAAAAATGAGATAATACAAACACTATCACTTAAGATGGTAAGGAACTTTGAACTGATAACATAGTCCCTGGCACATAGTTTTAACTGACATTTATGGCAACTAAAATAAGAAGTAATAGACTTGGTGGGGGAGATGTAGGTCAAAACAGCAGATATATAGGATTAACAAGCTTTCTGATCTAATGTATTATATGAAGACTATTAATTATTGATATTGCACTTATTAGTGATTTTTGCCAAAAGAACATATTTTACATGTTTTTCTAACCAAAAAGGGCAGCTATGTGAAGCGATGGATATATTAATACACTTTGATAAATATGTCACTGTATGTACATTCAAATACTATGCATTCCTTATATACAAATAACACACACAAAAACTTTTTTAAAGTAAGCAGACTCTTCGTGGAATAGACAAATATATAGCTGGTGGAAAAGGAAAATTAAAAACTGGGGTTTCTTGGGTGGCAATAAGGACAACTTGGCTGACACTTGCATTCTAGGTGTGCAAACCTTTGTCTTCTAAGCAAACAAGCCCAATCCTGCAGATCCCTACAGTACCTCATTTCCAGCACAGCCTGAACAGTAAGGAGCTCTTTCAGTCTCCACGAGACATCTAGACTCGTGGAGTGAGAAGTCAGAAAGATCGTCAAACAAAGCAAACACTGACCAGAGGATAGAGTACAGCTAAAAAGGGGGTGGAGTTGGCAAAAAATTGCAACTTAAAAACAGTTTTGGGGGTGTGGGTATGGCCATGGGTATACCTAATACACAACAAACCCTGGGTTCCAACCTCAATACCGTAAAACAAAATAAAAACAAACAAAAAAACCTTTTTTTCTTGCATTAGCCTGTTACTACCTTCCTAGCTCACTATCCATACCCAAAAAGTGCTTCCAAAAACTAAAAAAAAAAAATCTACAAGGTTTCCTTGTGCTCACCATGCCTATGAGTCAGGCACTACACCAGCATCTTTACACTATATCCTTGTAACCGCCCTGCATGGAAGGCACCATTATGTCCATTTCACAAACAAGACTGAGGCTCACAAGTGTCAATGAAACTTGTTCAGGTCATCAGAGCCTACATGGCAGAGGCTGAGTTCATACAAGGATCTGAGATCAGAGCCCTGTCTTTTCTCCCTCTGGGCTCCAGTGGGACACAGCTGTCTTCACAGCTGTCCAGAACTCAGTTTGCTCTGAGCACAGTGCTTGGCCCAAACAGGTGCTGAATTCAATGTGGGTTAAAGGAGTTGTCAGAAATTGGGTGAGTTTGTACTTTCCAGAAGCTCCTCTCCTCAGCTGTGAAATGAGGATATTAATTAAGAAAGATAGTTTCTTTGGGGCTGTTATCATTGATACATTGTGTCAACTTGAGAAGTTTAGAAATTTAACTGACAGACTCAGCAGGGAGCCAGGATCCTTACTTTGTAAATATCTTCATCCTGTGCAAAGAGAAGGATACATAAGTTTTTTGAGTGCTATGCCTGCCCTGGGGGTTGGGGGTGATCTATGTATGACATAAAGGAGGAGAAGAGGCTTGTTTCCTCTTTTTGCTCTGGCTGCTGCCTTGAAGGGTTGCCCCAGTGCCATGCCACCTTGCCTTGGAGCCAGCTGATTATGGACTGAAACCTCCACAAATATATATGCTATATATGTATTTCTTTAAGCTTTCCACACTATAATGATTATACAACCTTCCTCTCTCACATGTCCAAAGGGTTGAAAAGTACTTACGCAAGGCAGTACCACCTCTTACAGACACCAGACACTCTCAGCAGCTCAGGGAGGCACAGACAAGAAAAAATCCCCAGGAGAAGCTCATCTGGGAGGGAGTCCCATGAAACACCTGGGTAGAGAAAAATTTCCCATGAATGATCGTCCCTGTCAGGTCTACTGAGTCTCTCCAAGCATGTAAAGAATACATACCATTTAACATAAAAAGGAGATTATTAAATTCCTCATTGTGAATTGAGTGAAGTCATATTAACTTCATTGTCCAAACCACTGTTTACATACTCTGAAGTGAGTCCCTAATTTTCTTAGCAGCAAAAAGAAAAAACCAGGAATCCTTTTGTTATCATTCTTCCCTTCAAAACCAGCCAGCCTAGGGAGGACATTAACAGGGACACAGAGCAAGCTCCCAGCCCATTAGGAAACTGTGACACTTTGGGTCACTAAGGAAGGCCTTATTTCTGTCTGGTGTGGACTCGAAGTCTTCCTCCCTCTCCTTTCAGGGTTACAGAAAGCGCACTGTCATCTATGCACCTCAAGAAGCAGTATCAGAAGGTGCAGTCAGTTCTTAATTCTACAAATATGTACTGAGCCCCTACGGCAGTGCCCAGGACTGTTGTTTCAGGTATTTGGGAAAGAACAGCAAACAAAATTAAGACAGATGTGTATTTCACCATTATGGGGCATACATGCCAGTGAGAGAGGACACAAGTCACACATAAGAAACAGGGACATTATGTGACAAGGTAAACAGGACAAGTGTTATGCAGAAAAATTCAGCAAAGGAAGGAAGGGAATGGAGAGGGCAGGGATAGGTAAGCATGTATGATTGGTGGTCAGGGAGGTCTCACCAAGACAGTGATCACTAAGCAGAGGCTTGAAGCCAGTACGAGAGCAAGCTATGAATATGCAGAGGGTGTTCTAGGTGCCAGGCACAGCATGTCTGCTGGGAGGAAGCTGGCAGAGGAAGGCAAGAGTAGCAGGGCCTTGCAGGCTTCCTGTGTCTCTGATTTGGGCTCTCACTTCAACAACTAGAGGATTCTGAGCAAAGTGATAGGATTTCACTCAAGTTTTAAAATGCTCACTCTGGCTATTGTATTCAGAACAGACCGGAAGGGTAGAAAGGTGGGTGGAGGAAAACTGTTTTTCTTAAGTCTTAGAATAGCAAGTCTTAAGTAGCTATTCAACAAGTATTAATCTCTTACCTATGAATCTACAAAAAGACCACAAAATCAGGATATTATAAAACGGCCAAGTAAATGGGTAGCACCAAAGAAATACTGAAGAGTGGTTGATGAGTTCAGAACCCGCTTTTTTGGTCTCTCTGCCCCCAATTGATGTTCTAATTCTAGTGATATCCCCTACCCTGCAAATGCACTTTAAAAACACCAGTATCTACAGACCATCTATATCATACCAAGTACTGTGCAGGGGACTGAGGACATAATACACAGCTTAGGAGAGTGACAAACATCATAGCTGCGGCCCCTAGCAGCATCTTCTGAGACTGAGATAACCACACTCTTCCCTCAATTAGAGCCTTCCAAAGGAACCCTAGATGCTTAGCAGAAGTCTGTACTACTCCGCATGGAGTTCAAAGCTTTCATGCCAGGACCCAACTCATTTTTTCTGGGCTCCTTAGCTAGAAATGTACTCCAGCCATTTGAGGTTTTCTGTAATTCTTAGAATGAGTCATTTTGCATCACATCTCAATGCCTCCTCCATGCTCCATCCTCCCTATGGCTGCTCTTTAGTTTAACTCAAATTATTATTAAAGCCCCAACTCCTACAAAATGTTTTCATGACCTCATCAAAGACAAGTCTCTTTTGTACTATGATCTCATTATTTCCTTGATCATCTCTCTAGGCTCCCACTAGTTCACAAGTGCTTAGGAACCAGAAGCCACAATTTTTTTTTTTTTTTTTTTTTTTTTACCATTCTTTGTACTTTGAGGAACGAGCACAAAGTCTAACCCAGTTATCCATTTATGTATTTACTGAACATGTGATGCTCTCTACTGAAGAATGAGAAGATAAGCAGTTGCTAAATCAATGCTCGTCTCCTTCTCTTTAGGGAACAAAATTAAAGGACTAAGGCCCTGAAAAGTATGAGTAGAAAGATAAAGGCAGATTATCCACATGGTCGTTGGGCCCCAACCTGTGAAGGTAGCTGGAGGTTGTGCTCAGGTTTCTCAGTGTGACAATCTTTCAGTTGTTGCCAAAGTTCTTCCACAATCAACGTGGATGGAGGACAAAGGTTCTCAAACCAGTTCCTGCCTACTCACCAAGTCAGAAAAAGTCGAAAGACAGGTTTGTCTCAAATTTTCCTCATTAACTGTTAATTCTCTGACTTCTGCTGTCTCTTGCATATATAGGTGAGATTCTAGTATTTGAGCTGGCAAAAAATATCATCCTTGAAGGATTATTTCCAGAGGATGAAAAATACTTCCAAAAGTTGAGGAGTATAAAACAAAAGAGGCCTTTATTCTGGGAACATGGGGAGAGAGGACTGGTGCGCTGACCGCTGGAATCTGGCGATCTCTCTCACGCGGACACTTTGCATGGGGGAATATAAGTAGCCTAAGCTTAGGGCAGTGCCCTAAGGCCATTAGAGATGCACAGGTATTTCATTGGCACACGTTTGGCGCCAGGGGCAGGTTCCGAAGGGTGGGGGATATAGGGTTACAGGTAAATCTCTAGGGGCTGGGGAGGCAGGAGCTCCCCAATTCTGGCTGAGGCTTTTTCTGGCTACAGTGTCTGGTCTGGGCCAGCAACCCTTTCAATCCTCACATAGTCTGACTTTAATATGTTAAAAATGCACAATGACCTACAAAGCTGTCCTGATACCAGGTGTGCAGCCTCCCTAGCAAGTCTGAAAGCTACTCAACTGAGGGACAAGCTCAACTTTGAGAGGAATCCCAGCTATGCTGCCCCCAAGTCAGCAAACTTCAGCAAGTTACTCAATCTCTCTGGGCCTGTTTTCCATCTGCAGCAGAGAGCATAAACAGATTTATCTCACATAGTTGTACGATGTGAACATTAAATGATGTATAAAGGAAGATTAAGTAATACAGCTGTTATACTCTGGATCTAAACTGTCCCCCAAGGCTGCTGCTGGGCTGTGGGAGGTGATCAGATCATGAAGGTGTTGAACCTATAAATGGATTAATTCACTGAGTTCACAAGCTCTGTGGGCCACTTGGAGTGGCCTGGAGAAAGGGAGAGCTAAGAGGGGGAGGACCTCTGGGGTTATATCTTTTCCCTGGCCTCTTTCTCTGGATTTTCTAGCTCTCCTGGCTGCCATGAGGTGAGCAGCTTTCGTCTTCTAGGATGTTTCTAAAACAATGGAGTCAGCTGACCACAGATGGAAACCATGAGCCAAAATAAATCTTTCCTCCCCTTAAGTTGTTTTTCTCAGGTATTTTGTCAGAAGGGCGAGAAACTAACAGCAGTGGGGAGTCAACTTTCTCATTTCTGTTCCTCTCCTGTCTTAACTAAATCTGCATATTTGCCTTTTCATTTCGATGCTGTTTCAAATTTTTATCAGTGAGCTAAAATCGAAGGAATAAGGAAGGTTTAGAATCTGTCTAAAATTGACATCTTCAAAAGCAGAAACTGAGGGTTTGACTTCAAGTAGTTCATTTGAGAAGTAAGCCAGGAAGTACAGGAAGAAGCGGAGAAGACAGACGTGTAAGGGAAGGAAGACAACTCAGAGTATGTGAATAAGCAATTACCACTAAGGGCAATGGCTTCAAATGGTCTAGGGAGTCCCAGAAACTATCTGGAACCTGCCCCAGGGCTGTCCCACCCAAACACATGGGTGCTAGCTATGAGTCTACCATTTGCTGGCAGTGATGAGTTGTGGAGTCAACATTAACTCTCCAACATTCGCTGCCAGGAGAAAACACTCAAGGGAGTCATCTCTATGTGCAGAAAACCACTGGCAGAAAGGGATGTGAACTCCAAGGGCTATGGATGGGGCACCGATAGTGACCACTAACAATGACTGGGAAAGGAAACTGGGAAAGCTCGCTGTGAAATGCAAAGCGAGTGAGATAAACGAAATACATCAATAAATTAGGTCAGTTCCTCTTTTCCTGGGAAGATATAGGGAATCAAGAACAGCAGTGGAAAATAGACAAAGTACTAGGAGAAAAATCTGACATAATAATGAACACAGAGGCCAGCAAACCTAGTAACAGAGTTGTGCAAGAGAATAGTTCAGAGTTGGGAGGAGCTGCAAATTCCCTTTTCACTTGTCCAAATCCTACTCAATCCTCAGATTTCAGCTGAAATTTTACTTGCTCAGAGAAGCTTTCTAGGTCACCATTAAAGTTCTATGCCCAAGCTTGCAAATTTAACATCTGACACAATGCTTGACACATATTTGGCCCTTGATAAATATTTCCCAAGTACATTACACCTTTCGCACTTTTACACACATAGTACATGTTGTGATTCCTAGTGTCTGTCTAACCTTCCAACAATGAATTACTAATGCTCAGTGCAGAGGGCAGAGCCTAGAACTGAATATTAGAAAATGACCAAGTGGTAATTTACAAAGGAATGACTGGCATCCCAGAGAAGGATATTAGCTTTATTTTAAAGATTAGGAGGATTATTGACCTCTTCGGATCTATTTCATCATCTGTAAAATGACAAGGTTAGCCTATGAATCTACTTTCCACTACAACATTTGTGTGGCTTGACAGTCCATTAATGGTAGGAGTTAGATTAAACTACAGATTCTGCCCAGTGGCAGCCCTGGGAGATGAACTAATAAATAAATACACAGCTGATGAATTAAAAACCTGCCATCCATTAGGAATCCTAAAAAGTCTTAGATGTTAACCTTTGCAGCTATTTGTGTATCAAGTACAGCATTATTCCCATTTTAAAAATGAAGAATTAACTTAATGGCTTTAAATAACTTCATCAAAAACTAGGTGACTGCAGCAAAAGGCAACTCTGAGTTTCCAAACTCCCCTTCCCCAAGAAGGTGCAGTCACCAAAAGTAAAAGTGTGATGACTTGGGGAGGGAGCACTGGAGGTGGGGGAGCAGGACCTATAAAGGACTGGCACAGTACCCTTGGTGTAAGAGAGGTGAGTGTACAA